TTCAGTCCTGCCAGTACGGTGTCCATGACACGTTGGAAAGTTGCTGGCGCCGTGCACAGTCCGAAGGGCATCACTTTGAACTCGTACAGTCCATCCGGCGTGACGAAGGCTGTCTTTTCTCGGTCCCTTTCGTCGACTTCGATCTGCCAGTAGCCGCTCTTCAGGTCCATCGATGAGAAATATCGAGAGTGGCGCAGCCGGTCTAGAGTGTCGTCGATGCGGGGGAGTGGGTAGACGTCTTTCTTCGTCACCGTGTTCAGCTGCCGGTAGTCTACACAGAACCTAAGCGTCCCGTCTTTCTTCTTAACCAGTACGACTGGAGAGGCCCAAGGACTGCTTGAAGGTTGAATTATGTCGTCGTTCAGCATTTCTTGAACTTGCTCCTGGATCGCCTGCCTTTCCTTAACGGAGACTCTGTATGGCGATCGATGCACAGGGCGCGCGTCGTCCTCGGTAACGATGCGGTGCTTCGCAACGGTGGTTTGGCGCACCTTCGACGACGTGGCAAAGCAGTCGCGGTATTCGGCGAGAAGGTTAATCAACTGTCGTCGTTTCGGGCCCGGGAGTTTAGGGTCAATGTCGAGCTGCGCTGGCGACGCACTGTCTTGCTGAGGTGGCGAGAATTCGTCAGTAATGGCGGCGACAGCGGCGGAGTTTTGGAGTTCCTCGACCTGGCCCACGGCTGCACCTTTTGTGAGGTGTTGCGCTTCGTTTCGGAAGTTCGTGACGAGGACCACAGTGCGGCCATCCTGAAGTTCAGCAACTCCTCTTGCGACGCCTATTCCTCTTCCCAGAAGCAACTGGAGGCTTCCTTCGAGCAGAACTTCGCCGCAGAAATCTTCGGTGATCCCGACGGGTACGAAAACACTCGACCGCGGCGGTAAGTTCACGTGGCTGGCGAGGACTCGGACCGCAGATGACGTCGCTTTGGGTTCCTCCGGTGGTGAAACAGGCTTTCGCAGCGTCAACCGGTTTGCTCCGAGGTCGATGACGGCGCCATACTCGCAGAGGAAGTCCATTCCGAGGATAACGTCCCTCGAACAGTCTTGCAGAACGACGAACTTTACAGGGCACGTCTCACCGTGGATCTCGACGCGGGCGGTGCATCGCCCGATTGGTGTGATGAGGTGCCCACCGGCGGTTCGTATTTGAGGTCCATCCCACGGCGTCGTGACTTTTCGAAGGCGGCGGGAGAGCCTCCCACTCAAAACTGAGTAGTCTGCTCCGGTATCCACGAGTGCCGATGCGTCGTGGCCGTCGATGATGACGTTTAGGTTGTTGGACACCGTTTCAGGAGCGTCGTTTCGGTCTCCGGTAGGGTTCGAGTGGGGGCCCTCCGACGTTCGTGGAGGATCTTGGCGTCTGTCGTCTTCGGCAACTCCACCTCCAGGGGTTGCCGCGCCTAGTTTCCCCGGCGTGGAGCAAGGGGCGACAGGCTTTCACGTCGGGGTCGGTGCATCGGCGAAGCTGAACGTCGCGGCGATGGTGACCGGAACTCTCGGCGGGACACAGGCTCGGGGGACTGGGGTCGCCGCAGGTACTCGTCGATCTCCCGAGGGCGTTCACCATACCGGGGTCGCGGGTCGTTTGGGTGGAATCCGCGCAGCCCGAGTCGTCGGTATGGGCATCGGCGGTACACATGGTCAGCTTCCCCGCAGTGGTAACACAGCGGGCGTCGGTCGGCCGTCCTCCAGACGTCTGTCTTCCTCGGCGCAGGTCGGTCTGGGTGAACGTGCGCCTGATCTTCCTGTCGTCGGGGATACTGCGGCGTTGGGACGTCTCTTCGGGGTGGCGCCGTGGCTTGGCGGGGAGCTTGCGGCGGTCGTCGGGCTATGGCAGCGTAGCTCAACGTCGGTTCCTCCAGTGCCACCATGGTGACGGGAACCTCTGGTTGGAGCGCCCGTTGTACTTCCTCGCGCACAGCCTCGGCAAGGGAGAGTGTCGCTGGACGACTTGCGGCTGGCAGCAACTGGCGGAGTTCCTCCCGGACGACCTCCCGGATAATTTCACGGATGTCCGTACCAGGAGCGTTCTCGCCGCCAAGCAGCGCGGTTGCAGCGACACTTGGATGTCGCTGGTAGTGGGAAGCGCGCGCTTGGAGGGCGCGCTCGATGTTTGTCGCCTCGGTGACGAAGGCTTCGACGGTGCCCGGCGGGTTGCGCACGAGGCCTCCAAAGATGTCGTCTCTCACCCCGCGCATGAGGACCCGCAGCTTCTTGTCGTCTGTGGCTCGTGGGTCGGCACGGGCGCTCAGGCGGAGGACATCTTCTACGAAGCTTGTGACGCTTTCGTCGGGTCCCTGCGTTCGAATTCGGAGGAGATCTTCTGCCTTCTCCCGTCGGTGTAGGGTGGCGAACGTCCGCTGCAACTCGGCCACACAGATGTCCCACGACGTAAGCGAAGCCTCGTGATTCTCGAACCAATGCCTCGCAGTACCCTCCAGCGAAAAGTAGAGGTTCTGGAGGCACTGCTCCGCAGTCCATCCGTTGTGGCGCGCCACACGCTCGTAGTGCTTGATCCAGTCTTCGACATCCTCGTGGATCTCGCCGTGGAAAGATGTCGGCATACGGGGAGCGGCGGGCAGGTAGACGATGGCAGGAGCGGCGGGCGTCGGCGACTGGTTGGCCATCGTCGGCTTTGTTGGCTGCTTGGTCCTGGGCGGCAGAAGTTCGTGTTCCGGGGGTAGACCTCGGATGCGGCGACTTGACCGGGTCTCGATCTGGTCTTCGTCGGGTCCTCGGGAGGCTGGGTCCGGACTTGTACTGCGGGACCTCGGAGGGGTACGCGGCAGGGGCATGCGTTACCCCGCACCTCCACCAGAATGTCACGGGTGGTGATTCGTGACCAATAAACAAGAAATAAACAGAAATAAATAAACGTTTAATGTGGCGAACTTGTGCCAAAAAATAAAGAAGGAAACAGAAGAAAGCAGAGCGTCGCGGGCGTCGAAGTCGGCGTGTCAGCAGAATCGAGCGCTGGGGCGAGACTGACTCGACAAGGTCGCGGGCGGCCTCTTATCTAGAGTGCGTCGCTATCTCGAAGATTCGGCGAAAGCGGTTCGAGCGTCGCGTGATCGGGGCGAGAATGAACACGCACTTTCTAGAAAACAAAAGCAGGATAAATGATAGAAGTTACGGGCGGTACATGAATAAACGGGAGCTTTCTGGAGGACCGCGACCGAGCGTTGCTTTCTCAGCCTTGCGCGCGGCACTATATAGAACTGATCGTAGCGTTTCCTGCTCTTCGTTATAAATGGGTTTGACTGTACTGTCGCTTGAGATTGTGCACGACTTCCAACCGGGAACAAAGAAGAATGATTCCTAAAGCAGCTCTCACTGTAGACCTTGTCACTGTTTCGGGAAGGGAAGAGAAGCCCTGGACCCAGAAAGCTCTCCTATATATTCTGTTTCAGCCTAGCTTGGCAAAGAGCGAAGGCTACGGGGGGACAAAGCAACGTCTGGGACAGAATTCCTCCTTCCCTTTCTCTCCAACGGTTCGAGAAGAGGGGAAGGAGGAACTCCCTACTACGTTTGTTGATGTGTGTTTTTTAACCCATTATTATGAACACACTACGGACGATTTTTCTGGGGAACGGAGGCATCCATATTAACGAAACATGACTGCAATACGTCACAAACTCGAACTCCAACGAAAATTCGATTCCCGTTTGTCAGACATCTTGCAGCGTATAGCACCACCCCACATGTAATACCCCTTCTTCTGGGGGTCTTGGAGGTTAATTAAATAAATAAACTTAGTAATGCCACAACTACCGGGTGATTCAAGGAGACGGCAGGCTCTTTAAATCGACCGGAAAATTCTCTTTCTTAACCTATCGCGCTACGACTTCGTGCAGCGTTGCCCACAGATGGTGCATTTTTTTTCATAAAATTTGCAAAGAGCGAACTTACCTGAGGAAAAAGTGAAGAAAGAAAAAGGCTTAGCTCCTATGGAAACGCAGCGACGTTACCGGTCTGCAAACAACACGGTGCCGTTTCGCTCGGGAGACAAGAGATGGCGCAAGCGGTCGCGACGCCAACTGCCGCCAACGAACGAGCAAACGATGCCGAGAGCCGGCGTCTTTAGCAGACAAGGAACTGCAGGTCCTTGTTGTTACCGCGCCTGTTTTTGTTTCTGCGACTGTCGCCGCCTGCGGAACGCACTCCGCTTTTGAGTCGAAAAGATTGTCTGCTAAAGACGCTGGCTCTTGGCGCCGTATGCTCGTTCGTTGGTGGCGTTCGTTGCGCCATCTCTTGTGTCCCGTGCGAAACGGCGCCGTGTTGTTTGAAGGCCGGCGGCGCCGCTGCGTTTCCATAGGAGCTAAGCCTTTTTCTTTCTTTACTTTTTCCTCAGGTAAGTTCGCTCTTTGCAAATTTTACAAAAAAAATGCACCATCTGTGGGCAATGCTGCACAAAGTCGTAGCACGATCGGTTAGGAAACTGAATTTTCTGGTCGATTTAAAGAGCCTGCCGTCTCCTTGAATCACCCGGTATATCATAGTCTAGACCCTGGGATCCAGAGAAGTAAGATGAAGGACAAGACAGCAGAAAATCTTACAATTTTGTGTTGTCCTGACCATTATTTTATGCCCTCCTGCCTCAGGGTTCAGGTAATGATGCTTCCCAACCAGCTCGCCTTCATACTTTTGCTCCTGGCACTTTCCAAACTAGTTTAGTGATTTTATTCTGTTTACCATGTCTGGGAGTTTTTTTCGCTTATGTATAACGTTAGAATGCTTGAGGTGTGTGCGTTTCCTTTTTGTCTGTCTTGCGATGCAGCACCGGCGAGGCATGTTGCTGTTGGTGGGCATCAATCAATAAACACAAACATAATTTTGATTTGTCTAATTACAAAGAGCTGAACTGGCAAAGTCTACTCCAAAGAAGCAGCAAGCAGCATTCCTAGAACTTCGAGGACCGTTCATTCATCTCGAGTAAAATATAAGCAGCGCGCCGTCTGGGCGTGGACTCGCCACAGAAATGCAGCCGCCGGTCCTCACCTGGAAGTAGCCCTTGGCGGTGAGGCTCTTGAGGAAACGCTTCCACCGCACGTCGTCCACGATTGCCTCCGCTGCGTCTTGCGGATTGTCTCCATCACCGGCCGGATTCGCGCCAGCCGCCAGGATCTCCAAGCCACACGCCTGAAATTGGTGCCCCTCGTACTCGTGTGCCGAATGAAATGCGGTGCGTCACGTTGCACACGTGGATCCCAGCTAAATTTTAGTAAGGAAATGACTCGCCTTGAAAAGATTTCACTTCAGAAAGCCATTTACCGGTAAAGACTGAAGCAGACGAGCACAGCAAATCGTAGGCGAACAAGGAAGGAACCGACAGAAGAGCGGAGGAAGAAAGCAGACGACTGGTTAGGCATGTTCGTCTTGCCGGGACGAGTCAAAGTCATTCGAGTGCCTGTCAACTGCATTTAGTTTTATACAACGCGGAATGTGGATATTTTCCCTCAAAGTAAGCTAGAAAAGAACTAGGCACAGGTCTTACAGGCGATATTTCTTGCTTCTGCAACTGGGGTTTGTTTCCGGAAGGAAAGACACTTTCCGAAATGTTGCATCATTGAAGGCTCTGTTGGTATTCAATCTTCTTCGAACTTCTTTGCGTATATTAAGGCGTCGCCGGCAACACGGGCCCGTGGGGACCATTCCCGGGGACCGCGACATTTGCGTCCATGCCCCGCTGTTCCGAAGCAGCCGGAATGTGCGGGACCTTTCCCTTTAGATTATTGTATTAACTCTAGGCAATGGACAAAGGTGCGCATCATCTCGGCTTTGCGGCCCCAGAAACGCCGTTAGGAGGAAAGTGAGCCGAAAAGGAACCGACCAGCTTGAGGCCGAGGTCGTGCGCCACAAAGTCCGGGGAGTGAGTGGGCGGCAGGTTCCAGCCGACCCGGCGGTCAGGCGCAAACCTCTGCTGCCGCAGCTGGGCGTACAGGCAGCGGGTGAAGAGCACCTCCGCCATCACGCGCGTCTCCGGGGGGAAGTGCCTGCGGGGGTCAATTCGTCAATCCATTTAATCAGTTTCTGCGGCGGCCAGATTTGACTCAAGAGACAATAACATAGTACGAAAAAGCAATGAAAGACAATAAATAAATACCGGCTATGCTACTTAACGTGCCTGCGGGGGAGGGGAGGGTTGCCCTCCGACGATGTTGCCAGAACAATGCCACAGTGCCTAGAACGAATCTCTGACCGGCGTGTTTGACGCAAGAGCTGGAGTGTCCCGCTGTCGGATGTGCCGATCCTGGCGATTACGCGTAGAAGTTCCGACAAAAAGCATGAGTAAATGCGAGCGATGTCTGTCCGTTCGTTCAGTTAATGGAAAGCCCACAAATCGTCCTCCCTTGCAGATCAGGCCCATCTCTCCGGTCTGAGGATGAATGGCGGCATAAAAAGTCAGTTAAATGCACTTTTTTTTTTTTTTTCGTGCCAAACCAACAAAGGCATTTGGCACGCACCGGCGGAGTACTGAGGATTCGTTTGGACAAACGGGGAAATCTTTTTTGAAGTGCAACCAAAATCTCGGTTGCCTTCTCCGCAATAAGCCTCTGTCAGACTGTGGGCCCCTCGGCCCGGATTCAAACCCGCCACTCGCCAGACGACCCCCCCAAGGAAAACTCGCCTCATTGCTCGCAGTGCCTTCAAGTCCAACGGATCCCTCGCCACGAACGCTCCGACCGCGGGTCCGAGGATCTGCGGGTCTCGTCGAAGCACCGCCACGGCGGTCGCCGGCAAGAAGCAGTGAGCCCGGTGAAGCGACTGCCTGTGCTTTTCCGGCAGGTCTTCCACTCGCTTCGACAGTGCCCTCTGCACCGCCGGCGCGGCCCTGGTGGATGCTGCGGGCGACCAAAGCGTCGCCACCGCCTCCATGACAGTCGGCGCGCTGGCTTGGTCGAGAGACTTTGCATCGCCGTCTTTTGGAATGATGTGAAGGATGCCACGGTAGAGGTAGACCTAGACGGACGGAAAAGAAGCAAGATCCAAAGTTTTACCGCAATTCCTAGGAAGCTCCGACAATATAGGCCCCATTCAAAAAGTCTGACAACAGTGCAAAAAAGCTAGATCTGGCTGGGCACACTGGGCAGCAGACGCCATCTTGAAGGATGCTCCCAGTTTGTTTACGTCCCCTTAGAACGAGTTTCGTGGTGTGGGAAGAAGGTCGTGCGTGAAATACAACTGCCGTTTTTTTTATCACCAGCTAAGAAATTCTTTCTTTATCTGCTCAGAGTAAGAACGAGATACTGAGTGTTACCATTAATTTACTAAAAGTGAAAGTGCATTAGTTCCTCGAAGATTCTTTTAATGTTTCGATGATGTGCTCCTCCGTGCTGGTCTGTTCTCGAGACGTGCTTGCTAAGCAGAATCATCGGCGTCAGGTTAGTGAGAGCCATGGCGCAATAAAGCGGTGGCACACGATTGACTTTGTCTGCTACGACGGAATGTCTGACTAAAAAAACTCGCCGAAGTCCAGGTGACCGGGCTATCCGGGTAACGAGCCGCGCACATTCGAGATATCACTCCACGGGTCCACTGGTCGGAGATGCGAGCATCTTTCGCTTGCTATGGCTGACAGTGGTGTTTTGGAACATGCCCCTCCCATCCCCTGAGGTGACCTCGGTGTGTTGCAATCTTCGATTGCTTTTTTCATAGGAAAGTCAGCCGCATAATGTCATGATTTAGGGATTTCTAAACTGCTTAGAGCTTGCAGGGTCAGTTATCGCCATAGTTTGGTGATCTTAGGGCCCCTTTAAAGTGAAACGAAGTATGGAAGCAGTTTTGCGAAAGCAGTGTCCCCTTCGATTTGCTTGGATGGTGCGAGCACATCATCTGTGCAACTGGTTATGTAAGAGCCATACTTGATTATAGTATCACAATTCTTACTGGGGCTGTCTTTAAGTTGTGCCACAGATTCTAACACTTTCGGAAGGGGGGGGCCCGGCTCCTCCCCCTTCCGAAACCTTCCATTTTGCTGGGGTCTCTTTTCCCCCCTCCCCCTCATACAACATTTTGTCATGGGGGACCCCCCCCCCCCCCCCCCCCCCGAAACAAAATCCTGGCTACGTGCTTGATCACTCTAAATTGTACTTAGCAGTTTAACGCTGTAATTAATAAGCTGCTTAAATCTGTTAGATAAGCATTTGAGGCAGTAGGTAGTTTTACCTACCTTCCGCGTCTATGAGTAAATACTCCACACGAATAAAGCCGTATTCAAAACCAATAGCCGCACACTTTTTATGAATAGCAATACTAACTCTAGTGTATCGGGCTCACTTGCAAATCCTCGCGTCAAACGGGCCTGGCAACAACAAATATGCAGTCGCAACCCCAATCGTGGCTCACGTTTTGTCTGGACATCACGGCAGTACAAGACAAATGCAGCTTCTTCACTCATTTGGGCAACCAAACCACTCCCCATCTGACTGTACACAACAAAACGCAATCCTACAGTGATTAGTATTGCAGCAATGAAAGGCGCACAAATTGGCATGAGCGATTTTTTTAAGATGGGGTCAGTTGCCTATCCACGCGACAGATGGCGCTCTTTTATCTGAAGGGCCTATACATGGCTTGCATTGACGTCCCTTCAGCAGCATACACAATGGTGCGAAATGTATGCTGCAGAAGGTACGGGCACAGAATTCGTACGAAGCAATGGCGGCTGGTGCGGTGCCATATGACGTCACGTGCAAGGCATGCATACGTAATTTTTACAGGACATCACTTTCCCTATTCCCACCCGCCGGCCGCAATTACCAGGTACTGAGAAGCAGATGCGAACTGCGCCGCCGCTCAATTAAGAAATTGCTGCGGCGTATGTATCGTCGTGCATGTCGCAGCGTCCGTGTGCATGACTACAAGACAAAGTTTCCACCCGAAATCCAGGATCACTAAACTAAACATTTTAACTAAAAAGATTCATGAAATGCAGTATGCAAACCGGCAAGGCTCGTAAAGGGCAGAGGTTGTTCATTGCGTTGATAGTGGCCAGACGCTGGGTGGGCACCCAGTCGGCTTTGTATCGTCCATGAGAGTCGAAGGTTTACCCATTAAAAAATGTGCCTGTATACTTGAGGCATTAAAAGTCGCGGCATCTGAGCTATACTGCAAATTTGCGCCGTCGCCAAAACACTATCAACACAAGGGGCTACGAACACCAGAGAGAGGGAGCTCGACAACAAAGGTAAACGCAAAGAGGGCAGCAGCGGCTCAGTGTCAGTAATCTAGTAGCTTGTCAGTGCCTGCAGCGTTATGCTACTTGGTACTGTAAAGCTACCTTAGCCACTGTGGCAAGATGCACAGAGGACGAACGTAATGCCGGGGTCACACTGCTTATACATGATACGAAAGACAGACTGCACAGAGGTTTGAACGCAACTTACCATGAGATCCGTTCTTAGAATGCCGCATGGCAACGAGTTCAAGGAGAAACTTGGCACGCAGCATTCGTACCGCGGATATCGCGGCGACTGATGTCTGCCAGACTGTTTCTTGCGAGGTTTTTGAAATCTTTCTGGTGCATCTGAGCAAGTGAGGAGCCTTGGTGTTTCTCGGACAGGAGTTTTGTGCGCACAAACTGTCCATTATCACTTTCGGCAAAAAATGCAGCCTTATATCTGGCGTCGTGTTACTGACCTTTGCGTAGGACTTGCTTCTGCTGTGGCAACCGAACATTGCACACATTGGCATTACTGCACCACTATGACCGTAAGTTCAAATAAGGTGAAAGGAAGAAACGCGCATGGAAAACGATGCAGCAGTGGCCGGCGTTGCCGGCGGAAGCCTGAAACCGAAACTACGTCAGTACCTGGCAATGGCGACGACATATCCCATAAGCCCTGGCAGTGACACCCGTGACAACTATGCATACATAGCTTGCATGTGACATCATTTGTGGCCATGCCACTATTTTATGCGCCGCGAGCGTTCGGTTTACCGTGTTAGTTTCACACCGCAGATTTTGTAGTTTAAAGAAACCAGTAAGTAGAAATGACCGTCAGTACCCAGCAATGGCGACCCTTGCAAGCTTTGAAACTAAGTTCAATGAACACAAAACTTTTGGCTTATAAAACACTCATTCGTCCGTTGATGGATTACGCATGCGAAATTTGGGATCCTCATATTGTTAAAGATGTGCTAAGCTAGAAAAGGTGCAATGACTTGCTTTACGTTTTATTTTTTCCAAATATCGTCGACTGGATTCACCTACGGCACTGTATTCAAAAGCCAACATTCCCTTACCTAAGATGAGGCGTAAAGAAAAAAGATTGAAATTTTTATATATGATTAATAATGGCTTATATGGCCACAGTCGCGAAGGTGACTCAAGGATCAAACTTCACCGCTTCCCCAGCTTCCCTTCGAGATCTTGGGAAGCGACACGGCGACAGAAGTGGATTACTGCAGTGCGACGCAACAAGTAAGTGAATTTTACAGAAACTGTTGGGAGGGAAGTGAACGAAAATATATGTGCAGGCTTGGAAAGTGGTCGGACGAACTCATTTTGCGGACTACTCGGCAAAATAAAATTTATACTAGTTGTATTACGAGTTGCTTTGACAGCCACATTAGGGAAATATGATAGGAACATTCGGGGCGATTGTTGCTTCGCTGTGGCGTCGAGAATCAGGCGATCAGGTCTTCAAGTGAAAGGCTCGTCGGCCCGTTCCGGCACTGTTCGGCACGCGTGGTCGCAACCAAAACCTTCCAAACCTGCGAATTTTCAAATAGTGGATTTTCGTAGCACAAAATTTGTTTGTTTCAGCAACCAAATTTAATGCTGAGTCTGGTAACAATTGTGACGGCATGCAGAAAGCAGGATGCTAAAGTTTTTCTTTAGAAAAATCTCATGCGAAGCGTAAATATCCTTTTTACGCGTACACTTCGTTGCCTGTCGCCATTTTACACCAGGCTTTGCAATGTGCGTACGGTTCTGTAGCATGCAGAGTTTGGTTCTAATTACCCAAATTTTATTCTAGTGTGTGTGGGCGTCGGGAGGAGAGGACGGCCGAGCGAGGCGCGAGCGCGGGCCAGCCGGCGAGGAAAGAGGAAGAGCGTGCTGCGCGAGGCTGGGGCCGGGCAGGAACGATAGAGCCGTTCTGGCTGGTCTATCCCATGGCGATTCCCGGGAGCATTCCACCAGCGAAGTTCGGATCAGGACCGGCGGAAGCGGCGAACCCTGACCATACTGGCCTAGTCCATGACGATCCCGGAGTGGTTCCGCAGCGAGACTCTGGCAGTGATAGGACAGAACAGCTAGCCTACGCAGCACTGGCGTGGGAAGGGCGATCCGCAGGCCTGGACACGGGCCCCGACTGTGAGCTCTGAACGACGGGCGACAACTAGGGTCGGCGGGTCCGGAGTGCCGGCTCTCGAAGACGGGCAACCGGGATGTACAATAAACCCATTTGTTGTATTGTGTCACTTCCTGGGAAACGAGCGAAGCACAGACCGATCAGGCGCCGGGCGGCCACAAGTAGTGAAGACAACTCAAACTGGTGTCCAAATGACGACTCTAGAATATTCTCTCAGCACTTGGACCTAGCAAGGTTCCCGATTAAAAAACCGCATAAAAGAACCAGGGACGCAGGTACACACGGGGACTGCTGAAATCGGGGTCGCCGCCGCTCGCAACGGCCCGGCGGGAAAACTGACCGCCCTATTAATAGAGACGCCTCCGGTTGTGGCGCTGAATGCAGTGCTCTCGTGGCGCCGCCTGGCCATTGCCGGCTGCCTATAGAGACTGATAGTATTTTGAAATAAATAAATAAATAAATAAATCTATTAGGTAGCATACTTTCAAAAATACTTACTCGGTTTTCACTGGTTTCTGGGTTCAGCCACTTTGGCAAATGATCGGCGGCCTCAATGAGCAAAAACTCTCCATCTGAATCTTCCACTCTGAGAAAACAAAAACGCAAAAATAAAAGTACCAGCTTGAATACGTCACAATCCACTTCGTGACGTCATGCAGAAACGGTGACGTCAAAAACTCCCGCGCTCACTTGACAACGAGGTCTTGGTCTTCTTTGGTCAGCTGCTGAAGCAGGTAGACTACAAACCACTCGTCTTCGACGTTGTCGCCAAAGTATGTGATGCCTTCCAAGTGAGGCGGCATGCCGTCTAAAAGAACGAAAAAAAAGTTTTGATTGACAGGTGATGGAGGTAGGAACCCCGAGCACGCACCTCTTTGTGCTTCGACCACACCCAGGTTGAACGGCTCATCTTGCCAGATGTAGCTCGCTATGAGCGGAAAGAGCTTGGCTGTGTAAGATTCAAGCTTGTCCTCCAGCAGGAGTTTCACGTTTGCGTTTTCGGCGAGCTTCGGGAATAAATAGTACCGGACAGTATCGTCTGCGACGCGCCTGGCAGCTGCCATCTTGAAATACGAAACCAAACGTGCCGTAAGTTCAGAATGTCTCTTTATAATTTTCACATCATAACTCAATAAAAAAAAAAAACGCATTCATTGAACTAATAAAACAACGCAAAGTTCGAAAACAAATGCTACTCCAACTTACTTTAGGTACCATTGTTAAAAATGCTCGAAAACGAAACTACGCGGAGTATGAAGCCACGGCTGAGTCAGTATGTGAGATTTTCACGTGATTATTTGTTGTGGTCGTAAGCGGGCGAAGCGCGTCCGCTCATTTCTGCGTCCGTACACCTTTTGGTCTCAGCATCATGTCTAAAATGCTAAAGCCCAAAGCTCTCACACAAGTGCTCTCCCAGGCAAATACGAGCGGCGTGCTGTGTACACTGTAAGTGCCGTCGAGATTTTCTATCGAAGCTGTGCTTCCGCCCCTCAAACTGCATGCCCTTCCTGTCCTCCCCATGCTATCGTTGACTCGTTTGCTTGGATGGCATGTTTTTGATCGCTATTAAAGTATGCCCACCTCGTAGATTACTGAACCGAGAGGGCACCCTGCTGGCGTACTCGGGCTACGCCGACAAGGACGCCAAGATGACGGCTGCCATCGCCAGCAGCATCTGGCTGGCCAACGAGAAGAACGCTCACGCTGCCATCAGCGAGGGCCAGTTGCGACTGGTCGTCGTCGAATGCGAGGTCAGTGCCCAGTTGGCCCTGCCAAGGCCTTTGCCCAAGAGAACACGCTGTGCTGAGGGAGTTATCTTTGAAGACAGAGGTCTGTTTCGTAGTTGACTTCCGGCGCTTGTTCTCTCGATCTATGAAGTCATCTCTGTCGGAGGCCGAAGAGACCAAATTGCACTTTCGGTACCAGGCCCAAGACCAAATCGCTTCCAGTTCTACACAGTCCACTAGTTATTGCTCCTAAATAAGCCTGAGCCTATTATACGAGCACAGGCATATTCGTTGTGCATTTGTAACTCGTACACTTGAAAACAATTTTTTAAAATTCAGCATCCATATTTTTGTCTTTCAACAAACTTCGTGACATCACTTAATGGGCACCCAATATTCAGAGCCATACTAGGAACAGTAACCCCCTGAACTAAGGAATGTAAAAACCGTGGCAATGACGTGTCCCGCATTTCCTTCTTCCGTGTCCTCTAGGACGGTCAGGTAGCCATCACCCAAGTTGCCAACCTCCTGCTCTGTCTCCACGCCAAGACTTCGGTGGGCCAAGGCTTGCTACGTGCCAAAGCGAGGGCGCTGGTGGAGTACCTCGAAGGGCCCCTTCTGCAGGTTGCCGTTTCCTAGGTGAAGACAAAGTACCGTCTACCCGTGTATATATACCTCCTCGCATCCCCTACTTCTGCAAGGCCGTTCCTCAATAAAGAGAAGCATTAGGATGTTTTTAGAGGGAGCCTCTCCATTCGGCTGCGGAATTTCGCGCCCCCTGTGGCAGCACAACACTGGGGTTTTGGCAACAGCTGAGTTGACAGTTTCTGATAAACACATACTTAGCGGGAAAACTGAATTCGTGCATAGCTCCGGGACATTCGGCGATGCAATGTCCATCTTCCTGCTCAATATAGCGGGGAAACTGACAGTGCATAGGTCAGCAGACTATCAACTTCACTGCCAAACTGAGCGGGGGAAACTGAATTGGTGTACGAAGTCTCTTTTTCCACCAATCTTGGTGGGGAAACTGGATTACTGTATAGGTTACATGTTGGTTTCCCACTAAATTTGGGAAGATATAGGTCACGACATCAAATTCCCCGCAAAATTTTACAAATAATACACGGACGGGTGGACTAAGTTTTTTTGACTAGAAAGGGGTTCAGTTAAAAAGCTTTCGAAGCTTTGGTATCGACCCAAAAATGTCGAGCTTTTGATCAAGGCCCAGAAAGCGGAACACCTTGCGAAATAAATGGCGACGAAATTTGGGGAAGGATGTGCAGCACAAACTTTAGGTAGAGTGGAACCTCGTTTTTCCTGGTGCATCAATGTGCGAGATGTCACCGCTGCACTTAAATGGGGAGGCTGGCGTCGAGCGCAAAAACATCCTTTTAATGGTCCTACAAACAAATGGACGAGTCTCGCAGTTCCGTCAAACCGGTCATCGATGGGACAATTTGTCGGGGAAATAAAGAACGCGAAAGAAAATCTTAAAGGTTGAACACTTTCGGTAATTGCCAGATGTGAGCAACGAGGCTTCTCCGTGAATATAATAGAGAGGTCGCTGCTCACAGTTACAGACCATCTTTCCTACAAACAAAAACATATCCAGGAAGTTTTTTTTTTTTGATCTCCTTTGTTTGAAATAGGTCCCATAGAACAGTCTGAAAAACACCATAGGACTGCCACTTTGATACCGCGTAAAAATTCTAGCAGTGTTTTCGTCGAGCACGGAAAATGCCTTTCTCGACCGAGGACTTTAGCAAACACTGCGGGACTGCTCACGAGACATCATTATGCGCGGAAATATTTTCACGGCAGGTTCCAGCCTTTTTTTTTTTTTTAAATATTTTCAGAGGTACGAGAGTTTTAGAATGTTTCCAAAATGTTCTTTGTCAACGGGCATCCGCTTGTGTGGAGAGTTCATTTTCTGATGCAACGCCGTTCAGAACAACCTGGAGCAAGAGGCACCTGCAATTACTTTCCCCTCTTCTATACATTCTAAATGCAGCATAAAATAATCGTGCGAAGCATTTCGTAGCAATGCAACATTCCTGCAAACTAGTTTCCATCTTTTTCGGGAGCGAGGACAGACTGGACATCTCATTACGTGCAGAGACGGCCGAAAGCCAACAGCTTGGCTCCCCCCAAACGTTTCGTGCTCATTGTTGCTTAGAGACGCAGTTCATACACTGCACAAAGTAGTTCTTAGATGATTTTGTTGCAGGAAGGAATGCTCCTTGCATCTGAAAAAGTTTACGTTTCGACGAGCAGTCTTGCGTGCGTACACAAGTATCTTAAATTTGCCGCATAAAGGGGGAAATAAGCGGTGCTCCGATGGCGGTGAAATTTCGAGGCAACACTGGGCGGTGAATTCTCGAACCGATTGTGGAAACGGCGGAAGTGTGAGGTAGACTATGACCGTTCTGGCGTTCAAACGTGTTTCCCACATATTTACGGAGCACATTTGTTGGCATTCACCTTCGTTTTTGCTGCAGCCATTGGCGTCATCAACGTTTTACTACGGCGCGTACGCAAGTTCGAGCACGTAGCACTTCGAGACTAATTGTCTTTTTACGTCTCGCAACCAACGAGGGCACCGTAAAACTTGGTACGACATTTTTCACCCCGGAAATTCCGACAACAAATGCATTCTCAAAAAAAAAAAAAAAAAAAAAAATTGAAAACTTGTAAAAAAAAAACACCACTTGCCTGCATTTCATTTATTGTAAAAAAAAAAGAGGGGGCGGGGAGACAATTTTACTTTAGAAAATAAGCAATCGACGTTAGGCATGATCGTAAGATGGAAAAAAAAAATAGAGCGAAGGAGAAACGTGGGAAACTAGGATCGGCGACTCCCACAAAACGCAGCCGCCACACGCGGCGCAATCTTGGCGACGCAGCTTGGCGCTTGTCGTCGCCAAAAATCCCGCAATCCGCACGCACAAAAAAAAAAAAAAAAATGACAGGAACGTTATGAGGTGGTTGGAGTCCTATCTCGTGGAAAATAAAAAAAGACTCATTTAACAACGCCGCCTAGATAAGGAGGCCTAGCACCAAACTTTTTGACGTCGCCCTAAAGAGGCAAACGCGGAACGGATGAGACAAGGGCGCCACGCCGGTGTTACTCGTTTCGGCCAAACGTCGACGCAACGCTCGTATGCAGTCCGTTCCCCACATTTGCTTCTTTAGGCGACGACGAAAGTTCGGCGCTACCCCTTTGAGGGTTAGGAAAAGTGGGACAAGCTTCGCCCACCAAGCCCTTTGCTCTTTTCACTTCAGCGGAGCAAACGCCGGGGAGAAGGCGAGTCCGGCATCTGCTTGTCAAAGCGGAAAGGCCGGAGGGCTCCGTGGACGGAGCTCATCCCGCTTTTCTCGACCGGAACGGGGTACGGAAGGTGCTGCTTCGACGGAGGGCCGAAAAGGGGAGGGAAGGGGGTGCGAGGGGGAGGAAAGGTGGTTGTGAAGGCTGAAAGGGGGAAAAAAAAAAGTAGAGTCCGAACAAAAAAAAAAAAATAAAAACAACCCCAGATGAGAGTCCAGTTCACGCCCGCGCCTTCTTGGCAGTGCCCTCCTCCGTGCCACTCCCCTCCTCGCCCTCTTCCAAGTCCCGCTTGATCCCCTTGCCGTCCTGGACCGGAGCGTCTTCCGCCGCCACGGCCGACGAGGAACTGTCGTCTTCCTCCGCGGCGGACGACGTGGCTCCCTCGGGCGCCTCCCCCGTGCCGTTCTTCTCCGCGGCTGCGTCCTGGCTGGAGCTCTCGTCCGCCGCCGCCTGGGCCAGGTCCGCCGAGGACCGCGAGTCCGAGGGGGAGTCCGAGACGGCGGCGGCGTCGTGGCCGTCCTCCGCGGTTCCGTTGGCCGCCGCCGCGACGGGCGTGGCGTTGTCGTCCGCGGCGTCCGCGGGGGGTGCTGCGGCCGTGGGGGCGGGGCTGCTGTTGCCGTTGGAGGTTCCCTTGTCCTTGTGGCTGGAGATGTCCTCCAGGAGGGAGGGCTTCAGCTCCCGGGCGACGTAGTGCGCCCACAGCACCAGCTCCACCTTGTGCGGAGTCCACTTGCCCTCGGGGTCTGCGGGAGACGAGGGGTGCAAGGTGTTACAGCCGTCAAAGGGTGACATCTGAATGGGCAACTCTTTGCGCACTTTTAGAGGGCAGTTTCTGCCTTCTAAAATATACAAAATATGCCAAATTTCAATAGCAAGACGGGCTGCAAGTTACGGTGTTCTAGGTGAAAAACTCGTCAAGTTCTACCACAGCTCTTGGAGCATGAACACTCACTTCATTTTCATTCATACCACCGCAAATTTTATGGTAAAGTGGCCCTCCAATTACATTTGATCTTCTGCCTTATTTATGTTACTGTAAAACCCTTAGAGGAGCTGTGCATCGACATTATGTTGAAAGAATTAGCATCTGGTCCTTTTTACATCGTTTATCTTCTCACAAAGCACAGAAAACATATGTCCTTTCTTCAAAAAGTTGCAATTCCGCCGCTTAATTGCGAGGCAAAAATTATATTTCCCGACCTGCAGTTGCGAGCGGTGGTCATGAGAACCATGCAGCGCGACGTCAAAGGGGGATTTGTAAAAAGATAGCAAGTACCTGCTCGATAAAAGGTAATGTTTCTCATAAATCTGATCGTTCCAACGTGAATATAAATGCGTCAAAAACCTGGTATCTGGCATCATCGCCAAAACTTTTATTACGCGGAGTTTCAGTAACGCCATCTACCTGAGGTCAATAAAACCGTCGGCTCTATCAGCTGCTGCGAAGAGCCACCAGAAGCTGGACAGCGCCCCCGACGAGCACGCTGGCACTTTCCTCCTTTCAGCATGTTGATCGTGCGGCGCAGGCACATGGTCACGAGTTCTCACTGCTCACTGATGGTGCTAGAGATAGTTTCACCGGTCCCCCTTTCACGTCACAACGCATGCAACCACTCCGCCATCTTGACTGTTTACCTTTGTTTGTGTGCGGAACGGTGTTGCTGGAGATGTAACTCTATAAAGCCCTAGTGCGTTCAAAGGACCAGAAATTACCGCCAGACGACACCAACCAGCGACTAAATACGCGCGCTAAACGCATCCCGCTACTCGACTCAGTCATCTGTGCCGCTGCCTGCCGTGGACCCTGGCAAGTTTTGTTGCCAGGCGTCGATTTTACGGTCCATTTCAACTCAGCGCCTGGTGACTTGGAACACCCTATAGAAGCGGTGTGCAATCAAAACAAAGTCGCAGCCCGGAATGTTCATTTGGAGTAAGCTACAATTTCGGATGCCTAAACAAAGTAATTTAGGGATTGTCGGCTCCCTTCGACGTTATACATAAAACAATGTGGAAGGCTGCTGCGAGACAAAAGTGCAATCAATTTGTCAAAACCGGTAGGCGGATGTTTTGATGGATGCGGCATTGCGATCTAACTTCTCCTCCTTTGTGAACTTTTGCACGACATTTGGGAGAAAGCAAATGCTTATTTGCACAAGTTATCCCTAGTGTTTAGTTCTATCCTAGTGTAATTATCTGTCTCGAATCGCTGCTGCAATCACACCAGCGCTACCAGACCATGGTGGGGTGCAGCGAAGTGGACGACGAGGCAATCATGCGTGTAGGTCCTCGGTCTGGCAGCCAGGAGGCTAACTTGCAGTCAATTGGTCCAACCTTTCAATCATTGTATTTTGCCTTCTGTGTCACAAAACAAAAATGATTTGCTTCTTTTTGTAACTTTTACTCGCTTAAAACTTCCAAAATATTTTGAATTTTCAAAAGATTTCTTCCCAAGTTTTATGAAGTCCATTTCAGCGCAAATTTCAATCCAGCTAAAACACCATTGGAGATTAATGTGCTGGCATGTCCAAGCAGAAGGCAATGTTTCCTTTGCCTTCTCACTTAGAGGCAAGCCTTTGTTAGCATCCATTGCGCAGCAAGAGAGATTCCCTCAAACATAGAACTAGTGCTTAGTTGCGGGGAGAAGCACCAGACACGGTGACACGACCAATCGAGGACAGCCCGAACTGTTGCAAATGGTTGTTGGAATACAATAACTCTGCACGCCTAAATGAATGTTTCCTTCAAGTTATAGAGCTTGCAATAGAACCGCAATTTATAACTCGGCGAACAAAACAAAGCACTCGTCATTTGATTATGAACGTCATTACATGTTGTATGTAAAACCGCATCACAAATTCTGAGCCAGGTAACTCTGGCAACATTGGGCGACACTACCGCCCGACGCGTGGCTGCCGCCATGCAAGGTCATTCGTTAAACCATTTTAATTAACACGTAACGCCGTCCACCCTGTCATCAGTGTGCCTCACATTTGGCGCAGTCGACAGCCAACCACGTCAAGGAACTGCCTGCCTAATTCGCCTCCCGGTCGACGTCGCACGTGTCATTATCTCGACACGTACTGAACTGGCCGTGTTGGCGTGGAATGCTGTTGTTTACAGTGTAGACCGCATATAACGTATCTCGCGGGAGTCGCGAAAATCCGCACTATAAGCGGTACCGCGTTATAACCGAAACATCAATTTTTCAGGCCAAAATACATGCCATGTGACAACTTACCTTTGTAAAAGAATTTATTTTATGTTAGATGAAAAATAAAGCTTAGTTTGAGGAAAGTCTTTATTTCACCAGACTAGTACACTTCTCTCTCAAGTGTGTCACACATTTTGAAAGAAATGAGCGGCTTTTGCCTGGTGCAGCCTCTTAGCGGCGTCGCGGGTTGCAACCGGATGTTGCGAGCGTTGAGGATTGCTAACCCTAATCACTTTTCTCCGGAGATGAAAACGCGTGAAAATTCGGATCCTTCATACGGTACGCGCCAGTAATACCTTGAACTTGAGCACACGCATGAAATGCGCCAAATAAGAAATCCGGGCGATGTTCGAGGACACAAATGCTTAGAAATCACCACTGTAGTCGAAGTAAACAAACACGACGACACGGGCGTTTCTGCCGTCTTGAGAGCGCCGCCACGACATTGCCGCTCGAGTAGGTGCATCTTCCCTTCCAGTACGTGCTGGGTTATCATAGCGACACACAACGAAAATTCACAGTCAAGGATAGCGCTTTTACGCGGAACGATGAGATGAACGCCGTCTACGACGACGATCACAACGTTGATCACAACCGACCCCATGTACGCGGATAGAAGCAGCCGGCCCGCGACGGGCATGCAACGCGCGCGAACACTTCTCGACTTGCTATTGGTGTGTCGTTGCGGTTGTTGGTTTCCAATGCAGCGGAGGGACGCACGCACGTGAACGACACGTGCGTGCGTCCCTCCGTCGCTAGGGCAACTGAAGCCTCTCTCTTCGCTACTCCCGCTTCTTCGAGCGCCCTCCTCGACCCGCGGGTGCCGCTTGCGCAACGCTTGCGGCTCGCACCGTCAGCGCCGTTATCTAGTGTCGCACAGGCAAGCGTGCTCGCTGCTCCGGTCGTCGGCGCGGTCGGCGGGCTGTGCCAGAAACCGCACTATAACCGGTATTTCCCATCGCGCGCCTGCGTTTTAAGCGGTATGTAATTACATGGAGTTCTATGGGAGGCGAACCGGTGGTTTAAAAAAACCGCGTTATACCCGGTCCTGCACTATAAGCGGTTACGTTGTAAGTGGTCTATACTGTACTTTGAATAAAAACTTCAGTTGAGAGTAAGCGCTTGTCCCGTGTACACCCTTTGTCTTCGTTTCTTGCGCGCCGTGTCGAATCCACTAAAACACAGTCACGCAACATCATTTTCTTCGCTAAATTTGGCGGGGAAAATAAACGGCCAGCAACATACCTCGAGGTGGCCCCAAGATCTTAAGAAAGCTAATCGCTTAAAATAAGCCTACAAAAGAGTGCATATAAATCTTCTTATAGTACCGAAGTACCTTTGCTAAATCACAAATTGGAAAGGATACTACCAGGATATTGCAGTTTATTATATAAACCAGCCGAAGTTGTATTAAAAATTTTCGTCACATTTTGCTCTGGAGGAGTGCTTTCCCCTTAGTACGCAGCTGCGCCGCAGCGAAGCAAGACGAAGCAAATTGCGATTTTTACTCCGCAGTTCTTGCTTCTCTGCAGTACACCAGTGCGCGGTGAGAAGCACCCCCAATGAAATTAACCAGGCACAACAGACTACGAATGCGAGAGATATTGTGAAACCTCCGAGAACTGTCAATGACTGGTACAGCGATAAAGTCAGATAGTACGTTATTTGAGGCGACAATCGACAGATTTAAAGATGAGCATCAGCCCACCATAACAATCTGGCAGAGTAGCGGAACGCGAGCTATTATATCTCAAATAAAGAGCAGTTAGGTTTTGGTGCAAACTCGTCACATTTAGGCAAAATGAAGCAGGATAAGCACTTTGGCGCAGCAATATGTGCGATTGGTGAAAGTCCAAGATCGTTCATATCACCTTTCTGGGCAAGCTGGTCGGTGCAGGTTTTGATGCGTTCGGCGTAGTTGAGGTACTCGGCGAGGGTGTAGTCGGTGGCCTCGACCCCCGGTGTGGACAGCATGCTCTCGTCGGCCATGTAGGGCGCCTGCTCGGGGAAGGCTGCCGCCAGGATGGCCGAGGCCGTGGCGGGGCCAATGCCCTTCAGGTTGGTCAGGGCCGTGATGGCCCCGGACAGGTTGGGCAGCTTGCGGAATGCCTTCTTGGACGTCGACTTGACCGCCAGCTCCGTGTTGATGCGCACCAGGTCCAGCAGCTGGGGCCGGTACTTGCCACGCTGCACGGAAACAGGGTGAATGAGCGCACAAATGGGACCGCACTATGCCCCGTCTCGCTGTAGCCTGGCAAAGATCCCGGCGTTGGAGGGAGACGCGGGACTGTACCAGTGGGCTGCACCATTACCGAAGGGTTTGTTAGCAGTTCAAGAGAAAGGAAGAACCAGGGTGTAAGATAGACAGGTGGGGAAACGAGAGCCAAATGAGCGACCGGATTGTGTCCCCCTCGGTTTTTCTCTTTTTCTGTGGCACCATCTATGTGGAGCACCGCGAACTCTCACTCCGGATGGGCGACCGGCTAAACTGACGGAGATGGTTTCTCGTGGATTTTCAATGGAGGACTGTCGTGCTCTCGGTTTATTTTTCGCACTCTCCCATTGAGTTCCTTGCAAATCCGATTCCGATTTCTTTCCTCTCGCCGCAGCGCCATCTGTCACAAATCGGGGGTACCCGCCAGCAGACGAGTACACAATCCGGTCACGGCACGGCGGTAGACTTCTATGGGCCGTTTCCCCACCTGTGTATCTTACACCCTGGGAAGAACTCTTACCCTCTTTTGTGTGCCTCTGTTGCCCCCTTTTTACCGAACCCACCGCCGGGGCTTCCTGTTCTGGCCGCTAGGCGCCATCCATTTTGCTAGTTGCCAATAGTTCCGTCAAAGCGGGAGAGGAACGCAGCTCTGATATTACTGTTGAGTGAAAGGCTCGTCGTCTTGGGCACACACGGTCCGGGTGCTTCCTCCTTCCACAGCTGCTTGGGTTACACTCTCGCCACCTTTGGTAAGGGCAGTCACCTGCCTCGTTGCTCCGATTGGCTGCCACAGTGTTTACACTTTGCCAAGCTACGGTGAAACCAAGGGGCCCTTTTCCCGAGGCACAGACAGCACAAACAACACGTTTGTGCTCTTTCAAAGTTCACGTCCAAAGGGTATTGGCAAGTACCAAAATGTGATCACTTAGGTTAGTGCCTCCAATGGGCAATTTACACCGAGCCAGTAGTTTCCATGTGGACGGACTTTGTGAAAATGAGGGCTCTCGTGATTCTAAGGCAAATGCGGCAAAAAGCGGGAGATTGCTCGCTCACGCTAACGGTGTCGCATAGCATACATGGCGGAAGACGGGAAAGTTTTAACATGGAGCATGATGGAGCTTGTTTCCACGAGATGGGCATAACATTACGAAACAGCGTAGCGAAACACTGTCCCATGGCTGCCAAATATGGCGGACTTACGTCCAGCTAAACTTAAAATCCCACTAAATAACTACACTATTATTCGTTATAAGGAGAAACATAAACATCCTTCACCCGCACAGTCTGTCTCCCAACATCCTTTAACCGTAAAACTAAAATATATTGTCACGGGTAGTGATTCGAAAACAATAAATAAACAGGAGGAAATTAATGTTTCATGGGTCGAACTTGTGCCCAAAATAAAGAGAACACAAAGAATAAGAACAGAGCGTCGCGAGCGTCGAAGTCGGCGTAACAGCAGGTTCGAACGCTGGGGCGAAACTGACTCGGCTTGCCAGGCGGAGCCCCTTTTGTACACGCGTGGGCTTCTGTAACAATCTACATAGAAGGTTCAGTGAGTAGAACATTCTAACCTCGAATTAGCAAGACGGTTCTCGAATTTACCAGAACATCACAATACAGCGTCAACAAAAATGTGTAGACGCGGCCAGGAATCGAACCCTGGCCTTCTGCGTGGAATGCAAGCGCGATAACCGTTAAGCCGCGGGCGCGCTGTCTACTTGGTCAGCTGCGCTCGCAGCAATATTAAAAAAAAAAAAAGATTAGCATAGTTTTCTTGAGGTAATAAAAAATACGCAGATCTTCCAATGAGAAACTTGATAGCCACCAACAAAAACCACAAAATCGGTCAGTTTGAGCGCATTCTTAGTACTTCAGTGCCCCCAGAGTGCACTCAATTTTAAGTGCTCAAAGAGTTTTTCTGTTACCCGCATTTTCGCTCCACCAGCCTTGCGCTAGGATGCACAACCAGTGGTTTTTGCGCACTTACATGCACTCAGTCTTTATAAAATTGATCGATGTAATGGTTTTTGTTCATGCCCAGCAAGTTTATATTTGGCACCACGCTTCATTTTACTAACCAAGAAATTAATTGTTCAAAACTACCGAAGTACCTAATTATTCCAACCGCTACGTGCATCACTAAAATGGCCCCTCGGCAGTGGTGACTAATGCGTCACTATTCGTTTTTTTTTTCGAGATGCGTTCTGTGGGAAGAAAAACTAGGCGATAGCGTTACAGGCATGTCCTACTGCTTTTAGATTCGAAAAAATTTTTTTGCGGCCTTGCCAAAATCGGGCAAATAAATAAGCAAATTAATGACGTGGAAAACCCTATAACGTAAGCCAAATGCTGGCAGAAAAAGGATCGTTTAAGGGGACACTGAAATGAACAAATAAGTTTTTTAAAGGAGCCTAAATGGGACACTTTTTTGTTTTGTAAAAGCTTACAGAAATGTATTATAAAAATGTATCAATATTTATGCCGTTAGACACAGTTTAGGCGGGGGTAGCACTGCTATAGGCCCGGACTGGTGCTTAAATAACTAAGCACCTTTCCTAGGCGATCATTGGTTGGAGAGATGATTGACGTGCGAAATGTTGGTGGTAAAACTGTATCTCCGTGCTGTAACAGTATCTTAATCGACAATCGTCTTTGTTTGAAAAACAAGTAATCTAGCTAGGGTCATTCTTGTTTTCAAAAGTATCCCAAGACTTCCTTTTCCGCATTGGCACGAAATGACAACGAACATGGCTGCCGGCCTGTTCGGAGTGCTCAACGAGCACATCTTGTCTATTTTTAGGAGTGTGAGTCGTTTTGCGTTCATTGAGGTGTTTAGGGGAAGATCTCAACCGCCGTAGTTTCCAACGAACAATAGCCGCAACTATGTGCCTTTGGAAGCGCTGTGCAGGTGCTTGTCTTCGTAGCTGGACAGTCTGAAGGCTAGCGTCCCAAGTCAAATATGTTGCTTGATCTGGCTCGATTTGTTTGCTCGCGCGTGTTAAAGCTGAATTAAGATGTTGGCACCCGCAAAAGCAGCCCCACTGCTCGGTGAATTGTGCAACAGTCGCGATTGAAACCATGGTTTCAACACCCAGAAGATAACTACACAAGCAAGAATTTGCGAGCCATTTGGCTGGAGGCAGTGGGGCGTTCAGTTCGTATCAAGTTTGTTCAGTTTTGTTCCCGTCCCTTTGCTTCGAAAGGCAAGTAGCTCAAGTTTTGCAGCGCACTTGGCCTGCCAAAGGGAATATTTTTAGGTCGCATTTCAATTGTGCGTTATGACGCTCACCCACCTTGCCCGCAGACGCTGTGCAAGAAAACAATAACAAAAAGAAAAAAAGAACTGGAGGGACTTAATATTTATTTTCTTGATTTCTTTTTAGTCCTCTCAGTTGCCTTCTACCACACACCGACAGATACTGACAGCTGTTCTATTGGACCCTTGCTAGAGCATGAGAGAACGCTAGAAGGCCGCTTTCATGGTCGCGTCTTGCGAGCGTTGGAGAAGCTTTTCGATCGGGGTGGAACAGCCGACCGAGGAAGGCAAAAACGGACACAGAAACGCAGCTTTTATGTCTGTGTCTGGGCTTTGCAGACGACAATAGTAGAATAGCAGACAATGCTGGAGGTACCTCTGCTCGCACTACGAACAGACACCTCCAGTCGGACGCCAGACTAGATGCACTAGATGCCGCGAAAGGGAGACAATAGGCTTGCAAGCATGTTCGGCTGAGTAGCCAAGGCAATCCAGTAGTAATGAGCGGGGCCACTGATCTGTGGGCGGGGCTTAGAATGGGCCGTGACCTCCACCTAAGTTAAGTCAAACAATGTAAACAGTGTAAAAATAAAAAACATTGCTCAAAAGTTATGTAATATACTGTTAAACCCTTAATGTTTGTGTGCCGACAATTTTTGAGAATTTCACGAAATGAAGAATTCGCGAAATTTAAGGGCGTGCGAAAATTTTAGTTTTTAAAATTTTCAATGCAGGCGTCTGGAATTCGCGAAATTTAGTGGTCGCGATTATATGTGACCAATTCGCGAAAAATAAGGGGCCGCAAAAATAAAGGGTTTTACAGTATATATATATAAACCATAGTGCTTACTAGTTCAAACGCCAAAGGCGGACCAAATAGTAATTCTTTGTTCATTACTGTTAAGAGATTTAATAGATTGCTGGGAAGAAACATTGCTTTGCCTTTTCCAACTACTTTGTTAAAAAAAAAAAAAAATGCAGCTGTCCTCTCTGCTTTTTGACCCTATTTTACATGTTTCAAACCACATTGCTAAACTTCCCTTTCTTTTGTTAAGCAGAACAAGAAGTGTACGACCTTCAAAAACTGGGGGACAAAGACTCGTTCCGCGAGATTGCAAAACTGTGCACCTTGTTCTCCAACGCACCAGTGCAAGGTGGGGTCTGCCCCACCCTGCACCGGTGCGTTTGGAGAATCTGCTCGTGCGGAGGACCATCTCTATCAACTAGGTGGGCCCAGAAGTTTGGGCTTGGTACCCATAGGTCCTTCGCTAATTTTTTTGAAGCGTTCATCGCAACATGGGTGCATCTCGGTATTTCGCGGTAGGTCCTTCGCAACCGCCGTCGACGGCGCACAATATCGCGTCTACGCCGTGGAACCTGCAGGCCACGGTGTTAAGATATACATAGGTGCGGTTGGGAAGCGGCGCCACCAGACGGCTCCTCAAAGCAAGGCTAATGGTGGCCCGCCGTGGGTCCCGTTTCCGATGCCCGTTTTTAAAGTCATTTTCCGTGTGCGCTACACGTATAAGCTGGCACTCACGCTACGCGTGTCGCTTAAACGCTAGTTTCGTGCCTCGAGTGGCGGCAGGAAAAGTTGGAGGAACGCGTCGAAGCGGAGAGGTCTCCGAGAGCGGACACTTTGACAGCAAGGAGCGCTCACCCAGGTGCTAAGAGAAAGACCCTTTGGCTGCGCTGCGTGTCCTCTATACATCACCAGAGGCCGAGGACTCACCATTAGTTTCCACTTCATGATTTTGACGAGCTCTTCGTGCACCAGGTGCTTGTCCTTACGGGCCTGTATCGTCTTGGGCAGCTGCTCCTGGTACCTGGGGGAACCAAGGAAACCTCAGAACCCCCGAGGGCTCCCACCACCGAGCCTCCAGAGACTCGCCACTAGACCCAGACACAACTTTGATCGGCGTTCGAGATGCTCAAGCGCCCCTAGCTTCGACTGCATTGGAAGGTCCGAGTATACCGTAAGATACCGAGCATTCGCCCATTCCACATTACGCACCCACCCCTCAATTTTGTAACACTGTTGACCTAAAAGGTGCAAATCCTACAGTTTTAGATGATTACTTTGAAATTTTGAGAGGGCGTTTGTGCTCAGGATTTTACGCTAACTTCTTCCACAATTGTACTGGACACTGCCTCTGTCTCAACATTTACAAAACTTCGGCAAAAAAAAAAAAAAAAAGAAGTTGTTAATAACTTGGTACAACCCCCAGAAGTGATTCTATTAAACTATTTTATTTGAAACGGGTACAAGCTAGATCGAATCGCATATTTAACGACACTATTAAACCTCTCGAGGCATTTATAGGATGCTGTTGTCCTTTATTACGAGTACCCGCTCTTCGTTAACAAAAGCGTGTGTAGCAGCGCGTTAGTGGCAGCTTTAATGATAAAGCAGGGAAGAAGTTATTTTTGCGGTAAAATATCTTTCTAACGTGGAATATGCTGGAACTTTTTTCTTTCTGGAACGTGCAGCCACTTGTTTTGTAAGCCTCAAACTGTTCTAATTCCAGTCAAATAGAGCTCTTCATTAGATGTCAGGCCAGCGATGAGGGAAAGCAAGTTGTCTCTCGTGTGTTCCAAAGTTGGAAGGTCCTTGACCCAACTTGGAGTGCGCACGGGCTACGAGTGTCCACGTGCGAATGGCAAAGTGAAATCTCGAGATGCTTTTTAATTGAGGAATTTTAAAACATCTCAAATAAATATTCAAACGGTGCATATACTTCCAGATATGATGTTAACAGCCTCTGCTAGAAATAAATTAACATTACATTTACAAAAGTTACCTAAGCACAGAGGCTTAAACCCTTTGAGGTGTGGCGACGTGAAAATTGTACCAGCAAAACAATGTCGTCTAAGAGTGCAACGGACAGTGGTATCAATCTGAAACCACCACACTTTGCAGATTGATAGCACCCTCTCTGGGTAAAAAATAAAAAGTATTTCAGTTTTTTTTTTTCTAATGATGCACTTTAATTTGCGGGGAGTATGCTCTTGAGCATGCACTTCCAATATGTTATTATTAGCACTTTGCAGTTGCAAAATATGTTTCCTAAATCCAAAAGAATGTCTGTACACATTTGCCTAAGAAAAAGCAAAACACTTTTATTAAAAGCGATTTCCATTCATAGGCTGTCGATTGTCGAAAAATGGTGGTGGTATCACAATCCGAAATAATTACAAAGAAGTGCTTATAAACATGTGAAATCGGGTGACTCACTTTTGCTTTCATCTGGTGCGGTACAGTGGTTTTGCAATTGTACCACTAATTTAAACATCTAAAAGTTCACCAATTGACGAAAATGTTTAAAGCTTATTTTTGAGATTTTAAAAAGCCATGCACGAAGTGGTAAGGTTATTATAAAATGCACTGTAATTCAAAGGGTTAAGGCATAATTCTCTTCAGTGTTCCCATAAAAAGAAAAACCTAGGCATTGCTAAAAGAAAAAAAGACTTGATTATGCATAATCTTTTCTAAAACTTTGCTCTTGTATATGCTTTTAGATCCACCATATTTGTCACATACCCATGTACTACAGTGAATGCAGAGCTATTTGCAGAAAATAATTTCAAGTGCGACACCTTGGCAAAAACCTACGCTAGAAACGACTGAAGTTTTCATACTCAAAGTGAATTGCACTTTGGACCCATTAAGTTGCATGTCTGTCATATATATGAAATTTGAAACTTAAGCCTTCAAGGGGCAAAAAATTAGTTTTCCCATGATTGTAAAGATTTTCATAAGAAAATGCTAACATTTATTTTTACAAAACATGCATTAATAAAAAGTTTTTTGAACCCTCATGATTAGCAAAATTCGAATCAGTCTGCCCAACCTTCCATCTCAAATGCACCTTTGCAAACTAGCAGCACTAATGCTTCTGAAAGTACAATCAGACCCGAATTCCACTTTTGTCATGTGACCACTATTTTTTCTAATCCCACATGCCTACTTGCAACTTGTTTGCTTATACCTTCCTTCATTTAAGACATAACTGTACAAAGACGTTTCAGGGGACATGACAAAAGGCATAAATGCCTGATGGGGCCATGCCACCCTTCTAGCAGCAATGGTAGCAAAAACATGAAACAAATGAGTGAAATAATTTCACCTCCAAACTAGAAATCTATACAAAACACAACAAATACATCGCAAAACAACATAATGTGAAGACACTTGCTATTATCAATCATCGTAAGCATTTTGCTTAAAACACATCCGGTTTTATTCCTCTGTGAGTAAATGTTCTTTTATAATATTTTTATATTGATAGAGTGATGGTACGCAATCCAATGCAGCTGGTTTAAAAGTTCTGGTATCAGAAAACTCAACCCCTGGTCTCCATAATTCGTTTGCGAACGTGATTTTATTAACAAATAAAATTGCACTCTCTCGCGTAGCACCCTCAGTGGAGTAGACTTTGACATTTAGATAAGTTGCAATTACTCTACACTATTTCACAAGTGTCGCAACATGTGGCTTTTGATAACATTTCGTGACGGGGAGTGGTGTGCTATGTATTTCTCACCGTTAGGTGATGTACTCACATGGTAAATATTACGCATTATTTTTTAATCGCGATAGTCAAGTCGTTTACCGCAATTTCTCATGCATCTCAACAAAAGCCTTAGTTCATAAAATTGAAAATCCAATGAATTAAGTTTCTGGAGAGCTAATATGTAAAGAGAGAAATCTGACTGCGTTTAGTGCATGATCTTGGACTGGCTTTCCTAGTGATAGACAGTCTAGCTCGTGCTCTCAAGCACCGGTTGACAAGGTTTATTAGCCAACCTGACACATTCCTCTGCATGTCGCAAATGTCTGAACATCATTGTAGACACAGCATGAATCAAAATTAAGCGGGTTGATGGTCACATATTTGAAGGAGGACCGAGCTCTTTGTTTTCCAGGTGTTGAAGCTCCTCGAGTCCTCTTATACATATTTGGATATGCTTGCCTCTCATGCAAGTCGACTGCTGGTATTCTGAACCTACAGCCGTTGCCCATACATAGCCTCCATGTGATGTGAATTGCGGTCATGCCAGTATTGTATGCGCCGCGAGCATTCAGTTGACCGTGCTGTTGTACTCCACAGAAGTTGTAATTAGAAGAAACATAGAAATAACCGTCAGTACCCAGCACTGGCGACACTTGAAAGCCCTGTATAAAATAAAATGGACTGTTTGTGTTTATTTTTTTTAATGCGCCTGTTTATGTCGGTGTAAAATGGTGGATGAAATGTGTTCTTTAAATATATTACTGATCGTTATTATTGCTGCTTTGTTCCCCAGACTTGCAGGCTCCAAATCAATAGGTCTGCAATACTCGAATGCCAGCCGAAGTGTACTCGATCACCATTCCCTAGATACCATTAGAATTAATACAACGCTAATGCAAAGTACATTTGAGCGTACTTTGAATTAAAAAATAATTTCACAGAAACAATTAGTTTTTTTTTTCTTTGCGAAAGCAAAAGAAGCAACTATCAAAGCGTGACCAGGACCAGAGTGTTTCAATTACGTAAGCCGCATTACGAGTACAGCGACGACGGACACGCACGGTAATTGAACTCGCCAGGCACTGACGAGGAAAACTCCTACGAATTCAAACAACGTGCGGCACGCCAGAACGTTGTTTTTTAATTCAAGACACACGCGCACCACACATTCCTGATCCTCGCCCAACATTCGCGACGACATCTTTCTTTTCCCACGAGGATATTTTCCCCGGAGTATTAAGTCAGGTCATACATCGAGCGCGGCTAGTTTACAAGATTGGGGGTACATTTTGTGAGAAAAAACCGGCTGCCACTGGCGAGTAGCAGACGGCTTTCTGCCACCAACGTCGAGTTCCCCTCAAACCACCGACGTGTCTCGCTCCCAAACAGCCATTGAAGTCGTCTGCGGCAACCACCCGAAGCCCTCAACAAAAGAAAATGTTTATTCGGGCTAATACTGGCGCGGAGAACCGGCAAGGATCGCTCCGACATACGACGAGGCGAACGCCGGCAAAATTCCGTAGCAGACGTTTCTGCCCGCAAGCAGACGACTTTGCAAAGTTGATCGTCTGCGAATGGAAAAATCCCGTCTCTTCGTAGAGTGGCACGGCATTTTAGGCCTAGCTCCTCCCATTCGGCATAAAGGAAGTCCAGCGAGCACGGCACACTGGCGAAAAGCGAGCGTGCCGCCGGGCCCACCGACGAAGCGCGCGGAAGTGCCGAAAACGCCGGTGCGTCCCGACACAGGAACGGGCGAAGCGCGGACGCGAAGTGTCGGAAGAGTTTTGTGTGGCGTCGTCCGATTGCCCGTTTTCGGGTGCTTCCCCCCCCACCACCCCCGTCGCAAACTAAACGGAGCTTAGGCCTAGCAGCAATCGATGGGCCCACTTCTTTTCCTGCACAAGAAACGCCGAGCGATCCCACGACCGGCACCGAACGTTTTGAGCGACCGCCGCTGGAAACTGTCAAATGAGACGCACTCATCGCCGGACGCTTTGCCTCTGCCTTGTTTAATAGTAGACACGGGAGCCGTGCGCGACGGAATCAACAACATAAAAACAAAACAAAAAGCGCGAGATAAAAAAACAGAAAACCGGAGCGCTCTCCCCACACCGCGAACCAACAAAGCGACGGCCTTGGTCGAACCGCTGGGAAAAAAAGTTTGACTTGCCAGGCGTCCAGTTTGATGAGTTCTTCGGGTCCCCCCTTTTTGGTCCGGAGGGCGGCTTTCTGTTTGAGGACCTCCTTGTACAGGGACAGCACATAACTCCATTGATTCGGCGTCGCCTTGGAGAAGAAAGTCAGAGTCGTGTCGTTAGCTTCGGCCATGGTGCGTGTGTTCCGTGCACACGTACACCCGCTGCGGCCTTTCTCGGAACAATGAAGCAGCCGCCGCTCGCCGGTTTCGCCTGCCGGCCGACAGATGGCAGCACAATTACAAGTAGTGCGTTCGATTGCAAAGTTTGAGTAGAACGTCACTTTCTGCGAATAGACATGTGTGACGTCAATGCTCCATTCGCTCCAGCTTGCTCTTGCGTGTAGAAGTTTATAGGACGTCACACAATTTGTAACTGACGTCATGAGGAGGCGTTCATAGAGCAACTCCGACGCAGCAGCGACAAAGAAATCGGAGGAAAAAGTGGTTTCGGTTGGATTGGCGGCTATGAGCGCTTTGGAATGCGGCGGTTGGTTCGCGGACTACGGATCCGCAATCGTGTTTTGCTTCGGTTCTGCGACGTTTGGCAACACGTGCCTATGGTAAATTGTGCATTCAAAAACAAAGTAGGCTGGATTTACATTTCGCCGTTCGTCACATTAGGAAGAAAGCTATTCTCACTGTAACCGCAGGAATGCGAACAAGTACAAATAAACCGGGTGCGGCTTGCGCTACCTCTTTAGAACCATTGCGCGCGTGCGTCAGCGGCGTTGGTGTGGTAATCTTGCCGGAGCCGTCAGGCAGCCTACGGTGAGATCTTTATCGGGGGGAATTTTAAACCAGCGCGATCTAAACACCTTCATCTCTCATCACCGATGCAGGTCCGGGTGTAGCCACCTTGACCCGACTGTAGACAACGTCGAAAACCGGATCAGTCTTCACATGGGTGCCGAGCGAGGTATGTTCCATTAGCGCCAATCGGCGTAGCTGTGACCTCTTTTTCTTTTCTGAATAAGCTGTCAACCCCTTTGTGCAGAGTGCGTGTCTCTGGCGAACAAATTGATCGTCGAATGTCAGTTGGCGCACCCGAGGGTCGCCAAGCTGTCCCACGTCAAACCCCAGTTGGTCGCGCTGCTCTTCAAAGCCTGCTGCGGGATCGAAGTTCAAGGTACGAATTTTCTTGTGCTTTGCTGAGGTCACGGATTGATCGATCGCGCATTTTCCCACGTATAATAATTTAAAGTATCAAATACTGCGCACGCAGATTAATAACAGCGTTCCCGAGAAGAGCAATACCATTTATTCATGCGCCCTCCAGGAGCCCATGACACATGTAATCGAAGCGGATACGACGACCATTGCTATGCTGATTTGTTGAAATCTTGGCCACGGCTATGTTCTTACAGCCGGATATAGGATGATGCGATCATGGCCGCTTCACACGACGGACGGATCCGTGGACGGATTGGTCACGTGATGACAGACATGCCCACGGTTCGTCAGTCTCCCAAGCGCATCCGCACGAGACGATGAGCAGATGCCAGCGAGGGCGAATCGAACCTGTTTGCCACCTCACAGTGCCGCGAAACTCCAACATCGCACTGTGGCACCGTTGTCAAAGAGAGCAATCGACGTTTGCTACCGCGATAAAGAATCGTACGGCACTGTTACGTACGGAGCGAGACAGAACACCGTGAGAGGCTTCGCGCAAAGCGCCACTAGCTTTACTAACCCAAGGCATGACAGTGATGCAGGCGTGGTCCTGCTCGAGAAGGCTTCGGCGAAGAAGCAACAAAGTCCTTGGCTCGCGGAGAGGCGTTTGGAGATGCCTTCATACACTCTGCGCTCAGGCACAACACTTCAGTACACCACAGCCACATGAAAGGTCTTGCTCGGTGAAAAGTTGATTGAATCTCCAAGAATTATTCTGTCATGCTAGACGAGTTTTGACAGAAGCTTCTTGACACAGGCCCAGAGGAGTACCAGAAGCTGTGTCGAGTCATTCGGGCAAAGTTGTGCATTTTCTCTCACATAAGAAACCTAGAATCGCGCGGCATAATGATCCAGCGAATGCACAACAATGCACTATTTGTGCTTTATTTGTCCAAAATAAAAAAAAATAAAAAACAAGATAATATTGTACTGTTGTTGCCAGAGTAAACTCTTTTCAAGTCAATCGCCCGCCGAAAGTCTGCGAGTGAAAAGGTGCTCGACTTTATCAGTCCGCATATACTCGGACGAGGCACGGATCGCAGAAATCGGTGATGAATGGTCACGTGGACGAAAATTGTGATTTTTGTTCGTCGTGTGGATCGGCTATTATGTATGGACTGTTTTTTTAACGGTGCATTTTACTGGATTAATTGAGTGAAAATCAGGAGCGAGGGATTGTGTGCCATTAGCCCAGTAGTCTAGGGACTATGTCAGGGCTGTGATACTGGGGGTGTAACACTGGTCAGGGAAGGGAGTGATTTTGAAGGACAGGCGTAGTAGCTCGTCTGAAAGTAATTCACTTTAATACTCGGACCAGGCGGATTTTTTCGGTCGCTCACCAGTCACCTAGCTGTGTTTGGAGATTATTTATGTCTGTCCTTTGTCCCCCTTGTTCCCCTTCTCCAGGGATTATTTTCATCATAATTCACTTCCTGGACATACATGTCTTAGAGTGCTTTCTCGGTGCAGTGGCAGTCACTTCGCCAACGGAATGTTTTGTCTGCCAACAGAACGATTCAATGCGAAGGATGCATCTTCCAGGTAATCAGCCCACAAAGCTTTAAACCTTGCACCATAGGCTGTGACCTGGAGTAGCCTACACCAGCAGCTACAATTTTTTTCTCGGCCATTCTCGTAATCTAAACTGGAATATATGCAACTGCAAGAAGATGTTGAACGTTTGCTCTCTGTAGGCTAAACTACCAAATTCAATGAAGACGCACCAAAAAAGCACTTCAACAGCTAGACTCACGACCATTTACTGTAACAAAAGTCCCGGGCTCGTGAAAATTTGCCGATATCACTGTATCGTTTTTAAAGCGCTCCAAAAATATGTGCAGGACACTGACCTTCAAGATCAACTTTAAGTGCTTGCGTGCGTGATTTTACCCTTATTGTAAATGTCTGTATTCCCTCGTACCCTCCCCTACAGAATAGCCACTCGTAAAACAAACTCTGGCTAATCTCTTTGTGCTTTGACACAAAATATCTATCTTTGCAGGCTCGATTGAAAGCCCCTCGAGCTTGGAGGACGAAGCGTGCAATGTGCAGGAGATGCTGGACGTGCTGTCGCGCGACGTGCTCTTCATGTCGCTGGCGCATGTCACTGGACGCGACATTGTGTCGAGGAACGCCGACGCGCTCTTGGACCTGCTCGAGATCCTCGAGGGCTGCTGGAGCGTCCGGAGCGCTCCGCTGTCTTCTTCGTCGTCCTCGTCGCCCTCCTGGATTCCCGGATCGACGTCGGGCACGTCGAGCACGAGCGAGCACGGTAGGAATCACATCTTGCGTTATACAGTAAACTCTCACTTGAGCGAACTTCGGTTTAACGAGTATTTCAGAATAACGAACTTTAATAAAAGCCCCGGCGGTTTTCCTAAGCATTCTATGCAAAAATGTTTCAGTTAAACAAATTTTAGAATAGCGAATATTTCAGTTCAACGAACTTGATCGGTCGACCCAGAGTTATTTTTGCAATCAGTTCAACGAAGTTTTGTGCTCTGCAGTGCTGTAGTAGCCGATGCCCGCCGCGCCGCCGCCGCCGCCGCTGCAAAGGCGGCGGCGTATCATTGCTGGCGTTTACAGTGCGGCCGAGGCTAAGTGGCGGTGCGGTAGGTGAAAACGAACCACGTGCTGTGTCTGTCTTTTTTTGTCATCGGTTCCGTTCAACCATCTTAGTTTTGGGTAACAATGGCAGGACGGCAGTTTCTCTGCCCACTTTCGTAATCAGGACGACGAAACGGAAGCGGTTGTCCCTATCAGACAAGCTCAAAATCCTTCAGCGTCTGGACAATGGTCAAACGCAAGTGGAAGTTGCGAAGGACTACGGGATTCCACCGTCGACGTTGTCAACAACTGTGAAGCAAAAGTCGAAGCTTGAAGGAGAAACTGCGTTCAATCCCAACAGGAAGCAACTCTGCACGGGATATTTCGAGCTAGTGGACAATGTTGTTGCGGCATGGCTTTGTCACAGCAGTGAGCTCTGCCAGAGGAAGTGCAAAACAACATAGGCTCTCTAGGCAGCTTCGTTACTTCATGCAATTTAAAGGGAAGCTACGGAGCTTCTTGGAAAAAATGAGTTAGAAGTGAATTCTAGTGTATTTTTACCCCGTGAACCCGAATATCCAAACCATTTGCTGCGTAAGTATTGGTAAACGCGAGAAGAACGCGAAAGACAGTCGCTGTCCGTGACGTCATCGACGGATCTTTTGGCTGCCCAAGGCTAGGGAGGCGGGGCTTCAGTCCTATTTTGAAATTGTTCGTATGGCTCTCCGGCACGTCGCATTGAAATATAATTTTGATATCTGTTATTCCAAAGGCGAAATGAACGCAATTCAAGCGTTCTTTCTCAAATGTAGAAGTGCCCCATCTTCCCTTTAAGAGCGCCGGTGTAAATGAAAATTACAGATTTCTTTTTCAATATGAGCGAGGCAGCGATGTAACTGTTATGCACTTTCTATATATCAATGTACATGACTCCATAAACTGCATTTCACACTTCTGACTCAATGTATGTTATGCCCAATGCTGTTCTATATTCTAGTGAATATACAGTCAACTCTCAGTAATTCAAACCTTCTGGGGCCCGAAGAATGTGTTTGAATTAAAGAAAGTTTGATTTATAGAAAGTGGGTAAATAAACATCTTTTCTAAGGCTATAGTAATACATAACATGCTCTTAAAACAAATTAAGTTTATTTATAGTGTGGAAGGTGCATGTAGATACTTGTCTAGAGTTGTTTGCACTTTTCTAGTAGCAGACTTGAAAACTAAGGTTTCAATAGCATTAAGGGCTAGCAAATGTGAGTTGGCTTCTTGCTGACTCTGCAGAAAGCGTCGGAGTCTGTCAACTGCATCTAGTGCCTCTGGAGCTGTCACTGGTGGCTTCTCGAGGGCAGAAGCAACATCCTCTTCATCACTTTCACTTTCAGTAGCCCGAATCTCCCTGACAATATCGTCCAAAGTTTCCTCTCTACAGGTGACAACATCATCGTCCACTGCAGCATACTCTGCAAGATCAACATCGAGGCCATGTTCCTTCAAAGAGCTGAGCACTGCATCATGGTCTTCGATATCTCGCATAACCTCACTGTCGTCGGAGCTCTCACCGAGGCATTGTTCCTTCAAGAATCCTGCATGGGCAAAGCAGTTAGCAATGGTTGTGGCCTTCACATCACTCCATGCTGCTGCCAGCATGTGAACTGCACACAGAACGTCAACAGCATAAGATTTCTCGTTCTCCATACATACTAACATTCGGGAAGGCACCCGAGCACGGTACAGAACCTTCAGGTTTTTAATAATGCCCTGATCAAGTGGTTGAAGGATGGAGGTTGTGTTCCCAGGCAGGAATTCCAAAGTGATTGCTTGCAAGTCCTTGACTACACCATGAGCAGTGCAGTTGTCAAGCACTAGCAAGACTTTTCTGTTCTGCTTCTGTAATTCCTTATCGGTACGGCGCAACCACTTCTCAAACAGTTCTTGCGTCATCCACGCTCGGGCGTTAGCTTCATAGTCCACTGGCAAGCTGCGGATGCCTCTTAGATTTGCCAATAACTAGGAGTGGTAGTTTATGACTGCCATCCATATTTGTGCAAACCAGTACCGTTAAACGTTCTTTACTTGCCTTGCCACCCGCGCACTTTCTGTTACGAGGCCACAGGGTCTTATTTGGCAGACACTTGAACACCAGTCCGCACTCGTCTGCGTTGTAGATGTCCGCTGGCTGGTAGTCACGCAAGATTTCTTGAAGGCGCATTTCCTGCCAGCTCTTCGTAACGTCCGTGTTGACGCCCGCCGACTCCCCACTGACGGTTTTAAACACCAGACTGTGGCGCTTCTTAAACTTGTCGATCCACCCATCACTGGCGGTGAAGTCGACAAGGCCCGTCCGAAGAGCCAATGCTAGACCTTGTTCCCGAAGAAGGGGCCCACTGATCGGGATTTTCGACGCCCACGCTTGATGGCACCACATCAGAAGCGCCTTTTCCAGCTCAGGGAAGTTTCCTTTTCGTAGACGCTTTCGGCTTGGTGTGAAGTCCTCCGCCTCCTGGCGCAATCGGCTCTTCGCCTTTACGATCGTCGACAGGGTGCTTTTCGAAACCCCAAATTTCGTGGCTACATCTGTCAGTTTAACCCCGCGCTCGATATCTCCGATCGCGTCCAATTTTTCCTTCAATATTAGCGCCCTGTAAGGCCCACGCCGCGCCATTGCGACAAAGTTTTGGATTGCTATACGAATTATGGCTTCGTCTTTTCCAAAGCCGTTTGTAGCCAGGCATAGGTTGCCAACAGCGTGCGATGAGAGCAGCAAGAATTATTTTGGGGCCCGATTATTGTTCGTCGGGATTTCAGGAAGAAAAAAAAAAAATTAATAGCGGATGAAATTCTAGCGATAGCCGATTGAATACGAAACAATGTAAAGTTAGAATTATAGAGGGTGCAGTTCGTATTATCGAAAGAAAATGCTATAGTAAATACACGTGGCCAACTAAAACTTCAGGTTTTGTTCGATTTACCGAAAAGTACGAATTATAGCTGTTCGAATTACCGCGAGTCGACTGTATTCAGTTTAGTGAACTTTCAGTTAACTGAACTATTTCCTTGGGTCCCTCAAAGTTCACTCAATTGAGAGTTTACTGTAGTCCCTGACAGATTAAGAAAAGACGAACTTCAGCGCGCTGCCACAGAAAGTTAACTTTGAAGTTGTGTTTTCTGTGGAAAATGTGGCTGGCTCCGACGCTTGCGACTGCTTACAACCAAGTGCCTTAACACCTCTTATGACAAGAGAACGCAATGGCGCCATCTATTGGGTAGGAACATTTGGCATTTCCTATCTTCATTCTTTTTTTCTTGGCTCAAAAAACTTATGACAACAACCATTTCACATAGTGTACATTTGATCTCGCAAATTCTGCATAACCTTCGCTCTAGTGGAACGCACTTTTAGGGTCGCCTCATATGTGGTGCCAGCGTGCTCTCTTGCTGTAAATGATCACAACAACTCGATTTTAAACAAATGCAAGCGTTTGAAGGGGCTTTAAATACCACATGAGAGTCGTGGACGCTAATGGTTAGTTGCTCTTAACCTCTTCCGTTTGTGCACTTTCAGCACCTTCTTGCAGATGGAGCAGTGTCACCAGTGGCTCGGGTGAATGTTTGTCGTCAACCAGCAACAGTTGGAAGTCGCCGAGTCATTCTGACAACAGTCGCTGCTTCTTCTGCCAATACGTAGCTGCCAAAGAACAGGAAGCGGAACGAGCTGACAACCGACACGCTTTCCAAGAATCGGACGCTTCGTCTGTTGCTCGAATAGAATCCAGAGTCGGGCTGCAAGCCACATCCAACGTTCAATCCAAACTCCTATCCAAAGCCTTTTCTAGAGGTCGATCCACTGCCCAGCCCAGGGGTGCGCCGCTTCCCGGATCCCACGTCCCGTCTGCAGTTCAATCCAAGGCTGGACTGCGTGCAGAATCCAAAGTGCAATCCAGAGCCGAGCCAACTGTCCGGCCCGGAGTACGGTTCGAATCCGGAGCCGGTCTGGAAACCCGCCGAGAAGCCGAAGCTGATCCGTGCGGACATGTACACCGACCGTCTCCGGGTTCGGCTGTGCACCCACGAAGATTGTCAGGTGCGGTGAGGCATTGCAGTCCATACTGGCTTCGCAGTACCGTCGATTCGGCTGCCACACCGGACCAATCGGACGGCGAGGAGGAGAGGCTTGCCCGATCCGTCGCGGAGCTTCGCCAACTCGTGGCCCAATCCGAGACTGTAAGTCGTCGTCCGACGTTCCTCCTTTTCGAATCTGGGCTCAAGGGGTTTCGAAGGGGCAGATTGCTCGCGACATACCGCACACCGCAGTCTACAGGGTGCTTCCGAGGGCTCTTCGGGCGTAAAAAAAAATTGTGTAAACAAACTTATAAACTGAATGCAATGCAACTTTTCACAAAGGTGCTTTTAGGTGGTGGATTTATTATACTCGAATTTCATGGGTATGTTTCAGGAAAAAAAAAGAAGCATAAAAAATCCTTTTTTTTTCTATGGACAGGGAGGAACTGGGTAAATACAGTCTGGTTGACAGGGCTGCTCACAGACGGCAGGACAAAATCGTGAAAGCTTCCTCGAGATGAACACCGAAAAGCAGATCCAGCTAGATCCAAGCGTGTGTGCTGCCACCTGTGAGTGGCAGCACCAACCGGACTTTTATTACCATTTTTCTCCCTGTGCACAGGAAACAAAACAAAAAAACATCAATTTTAATGCTTTAACTTTTTTTCCATAAAACCCAGACTCATGAACCTTGAGTATGATAAATGCACCACCTAACGGCACTTGCGAAAAGTTTCGATGCACTCCTTTGATTGGTGTATTTGTACAGATTTTCTCGATCCCAAATAGCGCTCAGAAAAACCCTGTAGGAGTTGGCGGATTGATGTCCCAAGCTTAGCTGGCATCCTGATACCAGCCAAGCCGATCCAGATCGGAGATGTTGAAGTCGCCTACGCACTCTGTGCCCCAAATTCCTCTTCTAATGTCTGTTCGTACACTAGAAGCTAAACAACCGATCGGAACGGAGATTTGATCCGTTGAACGAGGGGCAGCCTCCTTAATTTTGCGAGTGTGCGTTGTTTGTCGCAGATGCCTTTTTTTATTTCACGCTCAGGCTTGCGGATCACATTGGGGCTGCATAGATCTTGTCGCTGCTTTTACAGCGTGTAAACCTGCCAGAGATTTCTCCCATTGGCTCACAAGATCCGAAACTTTGGACATTCCTCGCTGCTCCTACGAAGTGTTGCCGACTAAATTTGTCGCTCATACTCTTACGGAAGCAGCTCAATAGGCCCAATTTAAAGCCCCATCGAGCAACGTTGGCAGTTGCCATTTTTGGGTGATACAGTGAACCCGCTTATAACGATAATGAGAAATCTGGAAATTTCAATCGTTATGACCGATTATCGTTGTATCTGGACTAGAAACTGATCGTTTCCAGTCTAGAAACTCTAGAAACTGATCGTTAGAAACGATATGTCATTATATGTGGTATTGTTATAAGTGCGTTGCACTGCTGTTGCAGAAATGTGGAAGGGAAGGAAATTATCTTAGAAGGGCGAGGCAAGGAATTATACTCTAGTTTTTTGTAGCGTCAGCTACACTGGCCGAGGTTGAGCAGTTCCGCGTGGCTCGCATAATGAGCTGGTCTGCGCATGCGTGAGGAGCAGTGACATCACACGGCGCACAGCTGGCGCGCCGGAGCCGCCGCCGCGCCTGCCTCGCCGGTGTGCACATTTTAGAGGAGTGACGTCATAGCCGCGGCAGACACATTGGCGCCGGCGCGTGCCCAGTTGTGCGCCTCCGTTGCGCTGTAGCCAAGTCTGACGCTGCACCGGAGCCGCTTGATAGCGCCTCTCATTTTGTGCGCATAAGCTCATGCTACTTATATCCTGGCATAGCCGAGATAAGCCACTGCAATTTTTGGGGGGGAGGGGGGTTCCTAGGCTAGATGGCGCTAGCTACTGCCTTTTATAAAGGGTACAGCTATTCGCATCCATCCATTAATCTTCAGGCATGAAGCGCGTGATTGGATTAGAGTGTTTGACAAGCGCAGCGCTCGGTCTCGTTACGAGCTCAGCCGAGTTTTCACACTGACTCTTGTCCAGTACATGCTCGGAATGTGTGCCCAAAACATTGGCGCGGCAGCTCCTAGATGGCGCACACTTTTATAGAGTGTCTTTTGGGGAATGTTTTTTACTTGCTCGCTCCCGTATTTCAGAACGACGACAGGGGAGCTCGGAAACGGCCGAGGATGGTCAGGAAGTCGGGTCAGTTTTGCTTGTTTCTGTTTCTGTCCTAGTGTCGCCATACCTCCCACAATGGCGTTGAAAAACCAGAAATTGCCAGCAGACGTTTACTGGCAACAAGAATACTAACTTTGCCCGGATCACGGGAAAACGTCGGTGGGTTTCACCTTACGTTAAATAACATTTTCAAGAGACAACTAAAATTTCACCTTTTGGCGATCTTTTCCTCCTCTTTGGAAAGCAGGCTTGCGCAACTCTTCCTTCGAAATGTGGCCCACACCTGCGCTCTTTGACTCGCACGCTGGAAATAATTTCCAGACTCGTAACTAACCGACAGATGATTCCTCGTTTAATTGTCGGAATGAAAATGCGGATCTGTACACATCCTTAACCTCATCGGAGTCAACTGTGAGCGGCGACTCCAAACGTGATATGCTGCGACGGCGTTTGGCCGTTTTCATTCTGAACCGTGGTTGAGCCAATCGATTACGTCGCTTGTGTCAGAATTCACAAGCCTTGTCTCGCTGCACAAACGTGCGCCGTCTTTTAACCTCCCTGAAAATCCATTTGCAGTTCTGCTGTCGCCTTCTTTGCACCGTGCCAAGAGGAAGCGCACAGAAACTGCCGCAAGGCCTCCGCCATTGATGCGAGACGTGGACGACAAAGAAGGTGGGTTAATGAGGCATTGAAACAGTTTGCAATGCTTTTAATGTGTTCAAGTCATTTTCTTCATCTAATCTTTTTATGGCAACAGGTGCCTCATACTATAGTGGCAAAGCTCTTAATCAAATCATCCAAAAAAGGTCTAAAAGCGTGTCTACACTGGATAAGTCTGCAAACACTAGGCAACAGTGCCTCTGTTGCCTAGCGTTTGTGTTTATGTTCTAGAAAATATTTCGGCCCAATTATTTCCCTCTTTCTTTATCACCATTACCTGCTGATCTATTTTTGTGTATGTAACCCCACTGTAATGCCAAAAGGTGCTGCGGGTGCCGAAAAAACAAATTAATAAAAAGGCAGCTTCGTCGGTAGACCTGTTGAAAATCGTGCGGCCCTCCAGAATTCTGGGAACTGACTGTATAGAATCGTGTATGTAGGATTCAGAGCCTACCTCTCAAACCCTGTGAGGCTGAGCTCAGGAAAAGACATCTGACGTCCCATGGGCCATGGCTACTCGTGGAAAACTTCCTTTTACTTCTTCTTAAGAACACACACGCCCCCCCTCTACACTAAGAGGGCGCCACTAGCTGGACCAACTCACAAATAGCGACCACTACATCTCCCCTTCTTAGAGGCTGCGTTCTCACCAAATAGTTCTTGTGGCGAAACGCACACACTTAATGTTCAAAATTGTCCCATCAACTGCAATGTTTTCAAACTGTCTGCCGTTACAAGTCTAAACACCTGGCACGGGTCACGGCTTGTCTGCTGCGATTCCGATAGGGACTTGTCAACTCAGGGGGCCCTCTTGGGTCACTACTGATGACCTGCTAAGCCGCTATGGGGTTTGGAGGCACACCTTCAGCTGCGGGTTGTTCAACCGGCGGCCTTGGGGATGCAAACGCAACCAGTCCCCTGTGGTTGCGCTGAAGGACTGCTCCACTGTGGTCAGCTTCTACCAGATGGCTGCGGGGACGCTGTCCTGGGCTGGGCACTGTGGCTGGACACTGTTCCGACTGCACCCACACTCTTTCTCCAGGACAAAGAGGGGGCAGCTCGCGGGCAGCATGCCGCTGGTTGAAGGCCTGAGGTTGTTTCCGTTTATACAACTCATTCCTCCTTGCCACGCGTGCGGGCGATGGTGGCCGCGGAGCACTTTCCTCTTGAGCCCTAGGAAGCCGTGTCCTCAACCGACGCCCGAACAGAAGTTGTGCGGGGCTGTCTCCAGAAACACCGGGGGTGTCTCGGTAGCTCAACAGTGCCAAGTATTGATCTTCAGCTTTGGTTAAGAGTTCCTTCATGGTGCGGGCAGCTCGCTCCGCTTCGCCGTTAGATTGCGGGAATCTGGGGCTACTTGTTTGGTGCTGTAATCCGTAATCCTTTGCAAACTTCCCAAAGTCCGCCGATGCAAACTGCGGGCCGTTATCTGTTCTTACCGATCGCGGGATACCATGCCGAGCGAAGGCTGACTTTATTGCCGCGATCGTAGCTCCACTCGAGGTGCTGCTTAACGTCAAGCCTTCCAGGTACCTCGAGTGATAGTCCAGAACAACGATGAAGTCCTGCTTCTTCCTATGAAACAGGTCGGCACCGATGACGTCCCATGGGCGAGTAGGAAAGCTGGACGAGATGAAAGGTTCTGCCGGCTGCACTCTTGTCTCGGCACACTGCTCACAGCCGCTCACCAGGGAAGTGATCTGCGCATTGATGCCTGGCCACCACACAGAGTCACAAGCTCTGGCCTTGCACTTGACAACCCCTTGGTGACCTTCATGTATCAGCCTGAGTATTGCCTGTCGTAAGTCGGTCGGTATGAGGAGCCTCGGGCCTTTGAGGAGAATTTTTTTGCATGGCGACAGCTCGCCTCGGACAGACCAATACTTGGACATATTGACGGGCAGCTTGTGCTTCGTCGGCCGTCCAACCTGGCAATACCGTTTGAGTGCACAGCACTCTCCGTCAGACTGTTGCGCAGCTTGGACTTCCTCGGGGAGGAGTGGAAGGTCAACAGACGTGTCTTCCAGTGCTGCAATTGCAAATGTGTCAAGGCAGTCCTTGCCCTTGTCTTCAGACCCCATTCTCTGGGGAGCTCTGGAGAGTGTGTCTGCCGTTGCCAGTAGTTTTCCCCGGCACATACAGCATGCGGAATCGGTACTGCATCAGCTTCAAACGAAGGCGTTGGATGTGAGGAGGCAACATGTCTAACTCCATCTTGCCAAAGAGTGACACCAGGGGCATATGGTCAGTCTCCACACTGAGCTGCAAACCACGTACAAACTCATCAAAACAACGTATAGCCCACACCGTTGCCAGAGCCTCCTTCTCTGTTTGGCTATAGCGCATCTCTGTCGGGGTCATGGCCTTAGATGCGAAGGCCACCGCCCTCCTTTCTCCCGAAGGTTGGTCTTGAAGGAGTACGGCACCGATGCGGAAGGAGCTGGCGTCTGCCGAAACTGTTGTGGGGTATACCGGGTTGTACTTGGCGAGACAGCAGTCTGAACTCAAGAGGTTCTTTACCCGTAGGAATGCAGCCGCCTGCTTAGGACCCCAGGCCCATACGTTGTTTTTTGACAAAAGTGCTCAGAGAAGAGCGGTGACTTCGGAGATGTGCGGCACGAAACGCGCGACATGGTTTACTATGCCAAGTAGCCTTCGTACCCCTGCAACATCCTCAGGCCTTTCCATCGCCTGGACAGCCTGAATCTTGCTAGGATCCTGCTTCATACCTTCTGCTGATACGACGATTCCAAGGAAGCTGACTTCGGACGCGCCAAACACGCACTTGTCTTTGTTGAGAGTGATGCCAGCCTTCGATAGTCAGAAAGCACCTGGTTGAGCCGCGCGTCATGTTCTTCGAGCTTCCGTCCAAAGACAAGAATGTCGTCATCATGTTGACGCACCCAACCTGTCGTTCCAGTATGCGCGCCATCTGCTTCTGAAAGTACTCTGGTGCCGACGTAAGTCCAAAAGGCAGATCACAGAAGCAGAAGCGGCCAAAGGGAGTAATGAAAGTGGTGTACTCCTGACTTTCCTTGGTAAGTTTCACCTGGTGAAATCCGGAATTTGTGTCCAACTTGGAGTACACAGTCGCTTCTCCCAGAAGTCCTAGAAATTGGTCCACCGTAGGGAGCATGTGCCGTTTTCGAAGGACGACCTTGTTGAGCTTCGTAAGGTCAACGCAGAGACGATGACCGTTGGGTAGCGTACCCAGCCCTGTGAAGGGCTCCGTGAAGCCTGGGTTGACTGCAGGCTTGGCTGCAGTATTGAGGAACTTGATGACCTGAAGGTCCTCTATGGCAGAGAAGCCCAGCAATCCTTTGCTGGGCTTCTCTGAGACTGGATGACATACACCTGCTGCTTGGAAGATCTGCCGTTCCACCACTGCGTCGATGAGAAAGAACCCGGCACTTTAAGCGGGTGGTTGCCCGATCCATGAATGGCGTTTTGCACCTTTGACAAACGCTGGGGATTCCGAGGGAAATCATCTGGAACAGCCGTCACCTCGGCTCCCGAGTCCACTTTGGAGGACGCTGTATAGTTAGTTTTTCACGGTGACATCAGTGTACTTGGCCCTCTCTCCGGCATCGACTACAGAAAGCTGCAGAGTGCCTACTTTGGCTTGCTTTTTCATGCGGGAAAGACAGACCTGTTGTGAAGTGCCCTTGCTTGTGGCAAAGTTACACTTTGACTTGCGTGCGGGACAGTCCTCACAAGGATGAGACAAACGTCCGCAGAAGAAACAAGAACCAGGCCTGCCCGCAGAGATGCGAGACGACTGGTCATGAGCAGCATTGGTGGTGTTAGGCTTATAGTGCCGCGCCGCTTGAGACGACCTGCAAGTTTGGTCGCATCAAGATTTACACCTTGACCTCCTAGAATTTCAGATTTTCCCGTGCTTGCCTTGGTTGCCTTTTCTTTGTTGGCGTCTTCGGCTTGGCGCGCTTGTACCCACGCATCCTTGAGCGTGAGCTTCGGGTTACGTCCAAGACGGTCAGACAGCTGAGAGTCCCGAAGACAGACGACAAGATGTTCCTCGACCTCCAGGGTGCCATAGTTGCAGCGCCTGACTAGACGCATCAGCTCCGCATAGAACGCATCTACGGTTTCCTCCGCGTGTACCCGCCGATGGAAACGCGTTGATTCATATACTTCGTTCACGGGTTGGACGAAGTGCTCGGTGAAACACCGCACCACGAGCTTGCCATATCCCACCACTTGCTGACACCATGTAGGATTCAGAGCCTACCTCTCAAACCCTGTGAGGCTGAGCTCGGTAAAAGACATCCGACACCGACGGCTGCTCGTGAGGAACTCCCTTTTACTTCTAAAGAACACGCATGCCCCCCTCTACACTAAGAGGGCGCCACTAGCTGGACCAGCTCACACATAGCGACCACTACAGTGTATACCTGGTAACGAAGGCGAGGCCAGACATGTAGCGGTGTCACTACCTTCTCTGTCGCTCTCTCCTGTGTCGTGTGGTAGATGCTGCAAAGGCAAGGAGTTATAGGTACATCCTGTATGCCCCATACAGGAGGTGCCATTATTTTGCCGTGCGCTTGGCTTTTGGGATTTTTGCAGCTAGTCTCTTCTCGGCAGTGTTGCCCATTTAGCTGTTTTCCCGCTAAGTTTGGCGGCAAAACTTAGTGGGGGAAATTGTCGTTTTGCAGTTGTTGGAGTTTTTAGCGGTTTTCAAGTCCCTGTAGCATGTTTCCTGGCCATCCATAATGTTCTGCAGTTTATATTTATCGATCATAAATAGCTTAATTTCTACGGTAAGTTAGTGTCACGAGGTCGTTATTTTTTTGCTTACTATCAGCAAAATTGTTGCGAGTGAGAATAATGCTTGCAACGCCGTTGAGGTATTATGGGGCAAGCATTGAAACATCTCGGAGGTAATATAAGGAGAGAGAGAAAATAAACAATTCAGCCGCGTTTGAGACGTCTTCTTTCGCGCCTTTTTTCTTCGACTCAAAAGTTTCGTAATTTTCCCTCACCGCAGTCTCAAGTTTTAAGCGTCATGGTTATCTATCCCCGTCTTTTCATTAATGGTGTTAAAACGGTCATCCGTAGCCCGCGCCTGATGTTTAGCGGTATTTCGGGATTTCTTTAGCGGGTTTATTACTTTTGGGTTGGAAACACTGCTTCTCAGTTTTGCGATTCAACTGCGGTGCCTGGAACTTGTCTGCAGCATCCTAAACAGTGGTTTCTCGATTTCTGCCCGACCACGTCGTAAAAGTGTTGCGCCGTCGCCGACTGCAATCGTGGTGGCAGTGGCAGACGCGCGTTTTACCGCGGGTCGCTTTTCAGCTTCTCAGTCTACAGAAGCCACCGCGAAGACGGCGAAACTCACATTCTTGTTGTCGGAACTCGGTCGCCCAACCGCCAGAATGGCAACAGCGTGACACTCTGGCTTTTGCGTGGTAGTTTACTTTGGGACCACTTTGGATGCGCGTGGGCGCATCCAAAGTGGTCCCATCCGCCGATCCAAGACACGTTCCTGGCACCGTAACTGGAACGCTCGTTTTTTTTCAGCCGGTGGGGAAGATGGCTTTCCCGGCGTCGTTACGGACGACGGAAGCGCGGACGTGTCCCCGCACGCGGAACGCCTGCTCCGCAAGCTCCACGAGCAACACGTCCGTTTCGCGACGGGTCGGTCTGCTTCGGAGGTTGCGACCGAGACGGAGCGGCTGGAGCGGAAGCAGGCGGAGCTGCTCCGGAGGCACACGGTCCGAATGGACCAGCTGCGGAAGGAGCTCGCCCACGCGCAGCGAATGGTGAGGCGCTCCAACGCTCGTTTCGTTTCATTATCGTGGAATCTGTTTAAGACCTTGCGGCGGCTTGTCTCATTGTTGGCGCCTTGCTGGCAAATGCCGGCGTGTACCTGTTGTCCGCATTGTTGGAGAGGCTCATATTTGAAAAATAATTTATCCGCAACAACAACAAGTATTTTTCTAATTTTTTGATACATTGAACGGATGGGATGAACTGAAGTTTTAACTATTTCAAAAGTTCCAGGCATCGCTGCCCACATTGCTTTTTATGGCTCTCAATATGGCCGTTTCTGCATAAACTGGAGATTTTGTAATTTAGTTAAAATGCAACAAAACGAGGATTTTAAAATTTAATACGAGCAATTCAATTGTGAGTTTTAAGAGAACAGAGGAAAAAAGTATTGTGGCTAACACCCAAATCCAAGTTCAGTAAAAGAAAAAATGAAGAAATCTCATAGCCTTCTTTTTGGAGCTCCTATTTGAACTCAAAAAGCTCTTTAAATGTTTGTATTTTAGTATCAAATAGGGCATGTCATTAAGTATTTAACTCTGACATCCAAAGTTGGTGCACGATTGGGGAATATACCACGTACGTATTGGCGCGCTCGACGAACTGATTTGTGCAAACGACGGTCAGCGAGATTTAGAGAAGTTTCAAATTTACCTTTTGTGGCAGACTGATACGTTTAGATTAATGATTTGGAATAAATTTTTGATACCTTGATTATTGAATACTGCGGCCTATGGCGTAGATCGTTCTCGAATCTGCGGATGCAGAACGGTTTGCGACTGCGAGTGGTTGCTAGTATTGCTGCAAGCACACAGTCACAGAGCCTTCGTTGAGAATTTAGATTTGACCAGAAGACTTGAGATCTTGGACGGAAGTGCGTTGAAGATCTCGAGTCTGGAGGAGTTGCGATCTGGGAGAATGCGTAACCGTGCCGGGCGTTGGCGGCGCGTCTTTCAGAACGAGCTGGACACCCAGCGCCGGCTTCACGGCGCCATTGAGGCTCTGGAGAAGGAGCGGCGGCAGCGGAGGGCGCTCCTCAAGCGACACGCCGAGGAGCGCGAGCGCATCATGAGGGCGCGGCGGACGAGCCAGCGGCACCGAGAGCAGCAGGTGACCCACTCTCGTCGGCCAAGAGGGGGTGGGGCCAAAAATGCTGGGTTCCCTCAACTCATGTCAGCGACAATGCTTAGGGCGAAACCAATTTCGTAAAGACTTTGGGCTTTGAAGGCAGCGACGGAAAAACAGACGGTAATAGAGGGGAGGTCGAAAGGCACAGGTTAGCGGATTGGTGGCATAAGTTGAGGCGAGAATGAAGACTCGTTAGGCATAACGCAATTACGAGGCTCCTGGTGGACGAAGGACGACACAAAGTCTCTCTTTGCTCGCGTGCAGTCTCAGGGGGGGTCTTCACCGGCTTGTTTGTGCCCCGACTTCTTGTTTAAAGTTTCGTTGTTATTTTCGTCGTCGTGTGGATTGTAAGTTTCGGTTGTTGAGGACATTGAATGACTGCTCGTGCTTAGCTGCGACGTGAGATTCTTTACCGTTCTCCGTCGTGGCGACTGAAAATAGCGAGCAGAATCTCATCATTGTTTTATCGTGCCTTCTGCAGCCTTCATGCGAATGGATTGCCGCACGTCACTTTATTCACGCAAAGTTTTTGTGACGAGCCTCGATAATTTCACTCGGGCCACTAAACGGGTAAGACATTGCGAGGAAGACGTGGAATCAACAATTAAACGCGAAAAACAACACGGGGACTCCCACCGACGTTGACGTCACAATTTGATGGTTTGTTTATCGGTCACGGCGAGCTTCTTGCCCACGTCTCATGGCGTATGTGCGGCACCAGTGGCATGCCTTCAGGGGTGCTCCAGTTTGTTTGTAAACATGGGGCGCGTTAAGTTCGCGCCTGATTACTCCTACTCCGATGCTCCGAGTTTCATACTCCGAGCGCAGCAACTAAACGACACATGGTGTACAGGAGCGTGACACACCGAGGCTGTGTTCCAAACCTACTCGAAAGGATCCGAGTTACTCTGGCGGATTGTGTCACATGACAACAAAAAGAGTCAAGCTATACGCACTATGTAGTGCACTTCGGCCGGAAAGGGCTATACATACTACGCGTAGAGCTCATGCCATTTGGGTCACCCTTTTCCAACGACGCGTGTATCACTGGGGAGCTCGTTGACACACCCCCCGCCTGCGTTCATGCCGCTTCGCATGGCGGCAGTGTGCGGCTGCTAATTACAAAACTTCACTCGTACATGCTGCTTACAGCGTCCAGCTGGCAGCCCTAGCCCCACTGTCCCAGATTGCACCTCCGGAAAGGGAGTCCCATACCATCTAGTTCTGCGAAGTTTCGTCGGCAACATTCACTTTTTTTTTCTTTTTTAGTGCTGATTGTAAAAAAAGAAATGTAAATATCGCCAAATGCCTCAACAGAAAGTAGGCCCCCCACCGCGGAACGGACTTGCGTCCACTTGCATATGAAGCAGACAGCTTACCTCTATGCTATGCCACCACTTAGCAAGCTCGTTGTAACCTTTCGTTTTATACGAGTTTCGCGTAGTGCGTATAGCCATTTCCGGCCGAGGTACACTACGGAGTGCGTATAGCTTTACTCCAACAAAAATAGAGAAACGCTGGGCGCGAGTAGGTTTTCGATAACCACCTTTACCCTAGAGTTAGATTGTGTAAGTTTTGGAACATGGCCAGAAACTATCGAAGAGCCACACGAGCTCCTTCCGACCTTGGATACAGGTGGCAGAAGCCGAAATTATTTCGAAGATAAATTAATTAGGCCCGTGTGGAGCGGAAGACTCTAAAGGCCCGTTCGCACTCTTGCGACTGCTTGCGACCTCTTAAACCTGGGTTCCTTAAAAATTCTTAAACCAGAGAACACACTGGCGCCATCTATTGGGAAGCAGTGTAAACTCGGCGGTCCGGCATATTTTTTTTTTATTTCTCGTGCAATATCCTTTTTTTTTTGGCTCGAAAAACTTTTGTCAATGTTATAAACGAGCCTTTCTATGGGTATTACGCACATTTGACCTCGGAAATCCCGCAAAACCTTCGCTTTTGTGAAATGCAGTTCTAGGGTCACCGCATAGATGGCGCCACTTTGTCAGTGTGTTCCCTCATTCTAGAAACATTTAAGAAGTTGTAAGAGATCTCGTCTCTGTCATTCGTACTCGGTCGCAAGAGTGTGAACGGGCCTTAAAGCAAAAGATGGCGACGTTATGAAGTTTCTGCGAACGTTTTGATATTCCTGAAAGGTTTGAAGACTCGCTTCGTGCACATACGTGGAAAGTTACCTTGGCCTGATTCAAGGAGCGGCCAGGCTCTTTAAATCGACCGCAAAATTCGGTTTCTTAATCTATCGCGCTACGACTTTGTGCAGCGTTGCCCACAGATGGTGCATCTTTTTTTTTAAAATTTGCAAAGAGCGAACTTATTTGAGAAAAAAGTAAAGAAAGAAAAAGGCTTATGGAAGCGCAGCGAAGCCGCCGGTGTTCAAACAATACAGCACCGTTTCGCACGAGAGACAAGAGATGGCGCAAGCGGTCACAACGCCAACTGCCGCCAACGAATGAGCATACAGCGCCGAGAGCCGGCGTCTTTAGCAGATGATCGTTTCGACTCAAAAGCGGCGCGCGTTCCGCAGGCGGCGACAATCGCAGAAACAAAAACAGGTGCGGTAACAACAAGGAACTGCAAAGCAGACGACATAAGTACTAGAAACAAAAAACAGTTAAAATAACCCGACAAACCATTTTTTTAAATCAATTATGTGTCCATTCAATGTGTTTTATTAGTAAGGATGATAAAATAATGCATTGGCAGCTGATATGAAAAAATCTCGCGCCGCTTTTGAGCTGAAAAGATTGTCTGCTAAAGAGGCCGGCTCTCGGTGCTGTATGCTCGTTCATTGCATTGTCGGTGTTCGTTGCGCCATCTCGTGTCTCCTCTGCGAAATGGCGCCGTGTTGTTTGAAGACTGGTGGCGTCGCTGCGTTTCAATAGGAGCTAAGCCTTTTAGAGCGCAGCTCTTAGGGCTCATTCACACTGGAAGCGGATCCGCGTTCGCAAAGCGGTTGCGAACGCGGTTGTATAAGGATTCAGTACAATTGCACGCGCACACGATGACATCAAATGCGCGTGCAATTGCACTGGATCTTTATACAACCGCTTTCGCAACCGCTTCGCGAACGCGGATCCGCTTCCAGTGTGAATGGGGGGTTAGGGGCCCGTTTCCAGCCTGAGCGGCGTCGGCGTAACCGGGGGGGGGGGGGGGGGGGGTCACGTGACCCCCGAGGTCACGTGACTACCTGCAGGTGACGTGACCCCCCTCAGTACCCTTCCCTACTCCTCCTCAAGAGCTGCGCTCCAATTCGGCGTTACAGGGATTTGTAAACGGCTTTCATTTTTCTTTCTTCACTCTTTCCTCAGGTAAGTTCGCTCTTTGCAAATTTTACAAAAAAAAAAATGCACCATCTGTGGGCAACGCTGCACAAAGTCGTAGCACGATAGGTTAAGAAACCGAATTTTGCGGTCAGTTTGAAGAGCCTGGCGGCTCCTTGAATCACCCAGTATTTATTGACCATGCATGCTGTTCCGATTTAAATTAAAGACAACATTCTTGAACCAGCTCGTCGACACAAGAAACCCTAAAATTTGTCAGAGATTCCCTTGTTCCGTCGGTTCCATCTTGCAGCGAGACCGAAGCTACGCCGATACTGGCACACCGTCGTTCGATAGCACGTCAATTTGTTCTTAGGCGGTATGCATGAAGAAACCTTTCCCGCAACGCTAACTGGTGTTTCGGCTTTCCAGTCTAAGTATCTTTATTCGCTGCGGCTGGACTAAGCATTCTAAGCAGGGCAGCGGACTGACTCTTTTTTCATCACAACTTTTCTGTCGCCGAGCTGTCGGCACGCTCGTTCGATAGATCAATTTGTTTTCAAACAAGACGCACAAACAAACCTTTTCCTCGACACTCACTGATGTTTTGGCTTTCCAATCGAAGTATCCTTATTCGCTGGTCTAAGCATTATAAAAGGGATAGAGCGGTCCGAATGTCTCATCTCGACAACTTTTCTGTCGCTGTGCTACCGGCACGCTACCGTTTGACAGATTCATTTCTTTTTCAGGCGAGATGCACGAACATACCTTTTTCAGAACACTAATTGCTGTCTTGGCATTCAAATCAAATAGTTTTTACCTGCTGGATTAAGCACTAATCAACTGAAAAGGGCCAGTGGTCCGGCTACACCTTTCTTCTCGATGCTCCCAACAACAGCGCAGCCATATTGTTTGTTTACGTGACGTCACGGAGCGCAAAGAAGTCACTCGCACTCTGAGAAATTCTCGATGCATGAAGAGCGCGCTCGAGTATCAGTCTCCGGTGGCACTCCTGCCCGTTTATGAAAGGAGCGCCATTTCTCGTGCTCCGGAGCACGGACTTAACGCGCCCATGGGCTGGTGTAGGAGCGGGTGGCAGGCCAAGAACCCAGGGAAGCTGTGGAGGAGGAAGCAGATGGAATGCTGGAGAGGAGGAAACATCCCCCTCTCTTTTACACCTCCCCAGCCTTTCTTGCCCTCCCCCTGGTCGTTGACCTGTCACCGACCGTAGATCCTTGTAGCTCGTATTACAAACTCGGCCTATAAACCCCCACCGAGCAGTTACAAACTCTCCGTAACATAAGCTCTCTAGTGTTTTCTCCTCATAAAAGGTCGCAACAGCTTAGTCAGAGCAAGTGCGTAAGCGGGCCTTTAAAGGCGTACTCGGGGCGATTTATTCAGCTACCCCAACAAACTAAACTTTCTGCAACCCGGGACTTTACCCTTTCCAGTAGGATATTAGTATCGCAAAATTTAAGATAGTTATTGCGAAATCGGCGTACGAAAATCATGCCAAAACCAACATTCAGATATTCCCACGCTTTTTAGTGCGACGACGTCGGCGTCAGGCAGGCTCGTTCGCCGAGCGGGCAGTCGAAGAAATGAATTGCGCCAAGCATTTGTTTTGGGATGTTGCCCGGATGCTGGAGCAAGCTTCCAAAGCGTTCATTTGATACCGCAAAACTTCTAATCGGTTGGGAACAAATCCCGCAGTCCAAAGAGCGAACACCTGCCTGCCGCTGGCGTCAATTTTTCGTCGTTGCCAGTAGACACTTTTGGTTTGAAAACACATTGAGGACCAAAATTGTAAATTTAATAACTTAGCAAAAAATTTATTTGAGGACGAATATTTGGATGCTATTTTAGCAATGTTTGTAGTTTCTTTTAGTGAGTTTTCAAGCAAATCGGGGAGCCTGAAGAAAACGCCAGAGTACACCTTCAAATGTGTCGGTACTTGGTCGCAACTCGGTCGTTGCTGACGGCCGCCGAACCTTGCGTTTCTCGCAGATGCTGCATGGCGCCTTCAAGCAAAGCGTGGAGGCGCAAAGGGCGGACCTGCGGGACGTGCGGACCTCGGTGCGAGAGAGGTCGCTCCACGAGAGGGACAGCCACAGGGTGCACCTGGCCTCCCTCGACAACTTGTATCCTTCTCACACGTGGTCCTGGCCCGCAGAGGTAACGCCGTCCCTTCGTCGCCGACATTGAGGCGCTAGGCACGGTTGAGGCCAGTTCGCGCGTGCATCTCTGCAATACCACAACTCGATGCTGGGGCTGCATTGGCATTGCAGCGTTTTTGAAAACGAGAAAAGGCCGGGCCTCGCGCAGCGAAGCACGAACGAGGTGCCGATACAGCGCAAAGTCGGTGTTGCGTCTATAACGGCATGTTAGCACTGTGCTGTGTGTGTGCCTTTAACCTTAGACAGCGACGTACAACCTCAGTTTCGTGCGGGGAACGTAATCCTCAGAGCGTTCTTTCCTAAACTGGAAGCTCAGCCGCATTGGGGCGAGGTAAAAGTTGAAGAGGGTGTGGGAAAGGACGAGGCGAGAAAAAGCGGAAAGCGCAACGCGTTTGTCGGTGCATGCAGTTGCAGTCTTTGACCTTCTGTTGCGCGAGTATCTGTGAAGGCATTTGTGTGGACGGAGATACATTTTAATTTGGCGACTTTGAGGGGGATGGTAGGTTGATGTATGACTCAACTTGTTTTGACATCATTTCAGCTTCACTTTATACGAGCGACTTCGAGCTTTCCAAGTTGTTTCTGTTTTGTCTCCGCTTGCTCCTTACAAAGCTTCATTCAGAAAGACTAAAGCATGTGCCATTTACTAAAGAAAATATAACTTACTTACTTTGGTTAAGGAACATTTATGATTTGTCAAATTTAATTAGAGCCACGAAACCTTTTCTGGTTATTCTTCATTACGTGGGCTTTCATCTGATCCAAAACAATAATAATTGCGCCTCTCATTTCTTCAATATCAATTTTTATTCACCCGTAGTCCATTTCTCATGCTCCTTGTGAAGAGAACTATATTATTAAATAAAAATGTTTTCAAAGAAATCCCATTTATGAGGTTCTGTAAATAAATTAGGGACGTAGTAATAATTGACAAAGAAATGTCTCCGACAGCTCCATTAGTTACGGAGAAAATGTTCCTTACATGTACAAAAATTAATTTTTCCAGAAATTGCGATTGGACGTTTGGCTGCTCATCCACAATCCTAAAACGTGCCTGGTACATAGTCCTCAGCCCAGTCCCTTTGCACTGCCTCGCAAAGTCTGTCCTGGCACTTGCCATCATTTTCTTTCTTTCCGCAGAGGTCCGAAAGTCTGCTTTTCTGATTCGGACGTTGTCCATACGGTTCAGGGTCACGCCACAAAACACGTCGGGTGCTGCATCAAAGGCAACGAGCACTTTTTTTCTTGCTCTGTTGCCGTTTTAGAACGCAATCGCGTCGTAGACTTCACTTGGACGCAGAAACAAACATAGCGACTCATTTGCATTCTGCGCATGTCCGTGAAACGCCCATGCGTCAATGAAACATACATGAAATGCAAAAACGATTTATACAATATGTTTTATCAATCTTACGCACACATGGAGAAACAAGTTATGTTGCTTTCTTTTACGTTTTGAGAGCAAAAAGAGTGATTCAAACAATGTCTCCGCAAAGTCACGCGCATTATGAAGGGCAGGTAGGCGTTGTAGGCACAATATTTAAATGTCTTCTAGAACTCGCTCAAACATGCTAATTGGAAGACTGGTTCTATTTGAACCCTCTTTTTTTCTAGATAAATATTAAGAAGTCGCTCGTTGGGTTTGTTTTGCCCACCTTCCCCACTCAAGGTTCTTCGACCTCGATCGGAATTGCTTCGCTCGCGGGATTTGAGTGGGGCAAAGCGCTGAGCAGCGTCCCGTGCAGTTGGACGAGCGCAGTCGTTTGGAAAGGGCGAGCGGACAATGTTTGACGAACCCGTTCTAATGGTCACCCCATTCGTCCGTCCCGCTCGTTTTGTACTTCCGTCTGTGTTTGTTGCGTTTCTGTTGCTCCAACGATAACGTCGTAGCAGGACGGGGAAGGGGCCATCGATATTTTCGAGAGTGCAATTTGTTTTCATAGTTCGTTGTTACGATCTACTAGATCTCTGCGTTGTGTTGTAAATGATCTCACCCTCATCTAATGCTTTTGAGTGGGCCTTTGAAGTGGTAGGAATAAACGAATAAAGAAATGCAGTCGCACACTGTAAACGACTTACTTTTCGCGAGGTCCTAACTTTAGCAAATTTTGCAACTGGTAAACCCCCATGTGGCAATATATGGGAAATATGGAGCCCACGAAAATAAAGTTGTCTACGTTAGTCGGACTGCAGTCGGAAAGTTGACTTGGCTTCCTGAGCTGTGGTTGCGTCCAGCTACCAGTCCCAACTGTCGCTGCTGACGGAATCGCTCGGCAAGGAGAAGCAAGAAATGCGCAGGAGGGCCGCAGCCCAGAGCCAGGTACCACCGCCCCCGTGGCAGATGCCACGTCTCTGAAGTATCTTACTCTAGAAGTATCGTGTCCTGGAGTGCTTTACGGCAGAAACTCCTCGAGTTGAGGTTTCCCTTTGAATGTGCCTGCCTTGGTAAAAAATTGGCAGAAACCTTTACCTCCGTAAAGTCCCGTCGTGCACCAAATGCACTATTTCGGGACCGATTGTTTAAATTTGTTTAAAAGACATTAAGCAGTTGTTTTGGGGAGCAGAGTAGAACATACATTTTCGTTAATTTTTCCTCTAAATTTAGCTGGAAATGTACAGACGGTCGGATGAAATTATGAGATTGGAGGGGGTCCCGTTACAAAGCGGTTCATGCTTTAAAACGCTGGACACCTTTTTTTCAGGTCCTGGAGAAGATGCGCAGGGAATTCAGGGACAAGCTCAAAGAGGAAACTAGAAACATGTACGACATGGTCGCCCGCACTCGAGACGGATGGGTAGACGCCGACCCGGCCGTCCGAAGACGAAAACGAAGCCAAAGAATTTGACAAACTGCCCATCCTTTGCGTCAACCAATATCATTGCAATCAATTGTCTCCACCGGGACATTGCGTGGAGTTCTGGTTGCGCATTTTCATGTGGTCGGCGCCACGAGCAGTTTTGTGCGAGACCGTCCATACATTTTTAAAGTCGTAGAGATTAAAGAATGCAACTAAATATTTCGAGGAATTTTCGAGCCACTTTTTAAGTTTGGCTTCGAAGATTAAGAATTTATTTGGATGATGGTGTTCAAATGGTCTCTTCCAACTGCCATTTAGGTTGACTGCATTCGAGTATTGTCAACTTCAATGTCTTATCGCATAATCTAGAAAATATTTGGTTTAACCGGCTAATAAAAGAAGCTCCTGAGCCCCATGCGGAACCTTGTTTCAAATAAACAAAACTTGGCTATCCCAATCTGCTTTGCGACACCTCGTCATAATTGTTTTAGTGCCACGATTGTGTCGTAGGGTTGATTCTTGACAGATCCTCAGTTCTGTGCATGAATGACTCTGGAAAGAGCGGGAACAGGGGAACCTCAAGCAAGCCTGCCGATTAATAGGACACAGCTCGCAAACTTGGCAGCCTTTTTTAGCACGCGATGAACAATATGAAGCAATAAAAATTGTGCACGTCTTCAACTATTTATTATCAGATTTCTTCAGGTTACCCAATGAGCAAATGTATTGGCGTGGTATCTTTGTGCGGCGACGTAGGCTTCAACGCGGGCCACTGGACTTTCTGCGGTGTTGCAGCCGTCCTTTCCCAAAATAAATACTAACACTAGCATCTTTGACATGATTTATTTGGTTGCTCGCTTTTGGTATTGCTCTATATCTGTTGCTAGTTGGAAGATGTGGTTGTGTCATCTTCGTTTTACATGTTTATTCTTTGTTCAATATGATCTACACCAACACACACTTCATCCATTAATCATTAACCCTTTGACGGTAGAGTTTTTTGCCCGAAATATGCTGCCCAGTGGTTGGGTTTTGTTCTCAAAGGAAATGTATAAAGAAAGGGTAAGCTCTCATCCTCTCAGTTCAATTATAAGCGTAAGGGTCTGCATCGTAAGGCCGGCTCTTCAGACCAGCCAACTTTCGAAGCGACCAACTGGTGTGTATCACATGTGTGGAGTGTCAACTTTAAAATTAGAAATGGCCCCAGCAAAGCAAAACACCGTGAATATAATGTCTACAGTTTGCCATAGAGATAACAAATAGCAACACCTCCCCCGGTGCACGCGGTTTTACGTTTAGCCTGGCACTTTAAAATGTGTAATCGCTGCCGTACAGGTACGACGACGACTGTCAAAGGGTTAATGGGTCTCAAAATGGGTTCCACCAAGTTAGGTAGTGAGTTTCACAAAACAACCCGCAGAACAAATAGCCTTAAAACTTCCAACTTCCCTTTTAATATAAAAAGTCCCGCGTCGTACACTTGTGCCTTGTGGCTCATTCCAAACTCCAGAGCTCGCTGAGAAACTCCTCCTTCTGCTTCAAGAGCCCTTCCACCTTGTGGAAGTTGGTCGGTGCCTCCTTGTGCTTGGCCGACTTGGCACGCCTCACCATCTCCGTGTAGCCTTCCTCGAGACGTTCTGAGAAGTCCCACTCCATCTTGGGTAAGTTGTCGTTGATGAACTTGGCTTTCTTGGCGATGGTCGGGTGCCAGTGGCTCTGCAGCGTCTTCAGCTCCCAGAGGGAGCTCTCCGCCGCCCTCGCCTTGGCGGGGTCCGGTTCTTCTGCGTCGTACGGATCCGTAGATGCATCCACATCCCCAGAGTCGTTGATCATGGTCGCCAGACTGCGGTGCCTGACCAGGAGGTTGCCGATGAACGGGACGACGTAAAGGAGGGCGTATGGCGGGGCAACGAGGGACATTCTGGCGAGCCTCTTGGCAAATGCAGCCACCAGGTAAGCGGGCAGGTGGGTCGAGGAGAGGAAGAGGTCGGTAAGGAAGAAGAACCTCGCCCGGTACTTCTGGTAGAAGACCTCTGGAACCATCAGTTTGTAGAGCTTCTCGTAGAAGTAGGGGTAGTCCAGGTGGTAGCGGTGGATGAGCATGAAGAGGCCGTTGAGTGCCATTAGGCTCAGCGCGCCGCCGCGGTTGTACGATTCAATGAAGAAGTCGGCCACCAGGAGTGGGTTATGGAGGTGGGGGACCACCTTTTCTGGCAGGAGGATGAGGAGTTCCTTGTATAGCTTGATCGGGAGCTTCTGCCTGAGAAATGCGATCCAGACGCTCGAGATCCGTTTAATATCTTGCTCCCGGTTCACGAGAAAGTTTGTGGAGGTGCCGCCCAGAACCGGCACCGGTTCGTCGTCCGCCGTGACCGGTGGAGTCATGTTGAACCCGAGGAGTAAGTGGTACAGGTTCTTGAGGTACTGTTCTTTTTCTGGCTCGTCGGGATCCGAGTCCCAGTCTTTCGAGGCTTGAGCCAGTGTCTTGAGGGCGTACGTTCTCACGTCCGCGAGTTCCAGGAAGTGGTTGAATTTTGAGATACATCCTTTCCCGTCCCGCTTCGGGGACAACAGGGCGCCGATAAGGCTGGCTAGTTTCTCGACGGGCACGTGGTGTTCGCCCTGCTGTTTATTCACAGTCTCCAGCTCAATCCACTTCATGAGCACTTGGACGGCGATGTCATGGCGACGGTGTGTCGAGTCGTCTGCTAGGATTTGCAGGATCTGCTTTTGAGATTCGGCGTACTTCTCGCGTAACCACGCGTTGTATTTTTGCAGGGCTTTTTGCGTTTCAGGAGCGACTTGCGCATGGTCCTCAGTCAGGACAGTGGAAGTCTTCAGGACGTGGCAAAACACTTTGTTGCAAGCTTGAATGCTGGCTACCACGATGTCTTCCGCGTCCGACTTGAGCCCGGCTATGATGTCGACCAGCTTGTTGCAGTGTTTGCGGTCCTCCACGAACAGCGTCGCGTTTTTCTTGATTTCGCTAACCGTCATAGTCGATTATCAATTCGCGTACGTGCCTTGATCGGTTTCCGAGACGTCTAACAGCGCTTCAACGCGGGCCAAACGAAGAAACACATGGGAACAAACGCGCAAATGGAGGCCGCCATATTTGCTTTAAAGCGTCCTTGCGCCCCCTGGCCATTTTGACTGGATCACTTGAAAAAATATGAGACAACAAAAAGTGAACGACATATTATATTGGTTTAATATTAAATTTACTTTGTTAAACTAAAACCAGGCGGAACACGAATGCAAGCAGTCCAGATCTATATATAGGAAGAGTCTGGACATCTATTGTCATCGGTGACCTCTCGCCGTACCTTCGCTTCTCCCAGACTCCTAAAGCCTAGCAACCGCCTAGCAACGAAAAACGCCGGGGGAACGGCGCGCATGCCTTTATTTTCAGGGTTTCTGGTGAGAAAATGGTCGGTTGTTTTGCGGTTTAATGTTCTTATCACAACCGTCACCTTTTCTTTTTTTAAAGAAATTATATATATAAAACTCCAAACCGCGTAGTCAATTGATTTATTATTCGGTGCTTTCTAATAAATGTCACCTTTTTGTATAAAAAAGCTAGTTTTGTTGTCTTTCCATCTTCCATTAATTTTCACGTAATGACATGACGATGAATCTCAGCGCCCTTAGGAATGGTCAATTCATCTACTAAAACGAGCAAGCTTACGATTTGGGAAGAGGCGCCTGACGCTGAGTCGCTCGATGTTTATTTCGTAACCTTCCATCATGAAATAGACGGCTCTACGACAAACGCTAGCGGCGGCGCCGTTTTTAATGCCAGAAAACTCGCACAACTTTCATTTATTTTATTTTATCTTGTAACCTTCCGGCCGTTCGGAGGACAAGATCGCTGATAGAGTTCAATGCTCGCCGAGGTTTTTATGTTCGCCGAGGTTTTTATTTGTACATGACAAATGATATGAGAGCCCAACCACCCAAAACACAATTCGCGCCATTACGCCCGAAAACCGCCGATCGAGAACTGGCCTGTGGTAATAGTGCAATCTGTTTGGTTTGCTCCACTGCGCTGTAGGGAGACCGCTTGAACTCTGCAAGCATTGCTTCACCGCGTAATGTGAAAACCCCAAAGTTCGTAGAAGTTTGAAGCCTTTCTCCTTCCTCTCCCTCCTCTCGGCTAGCCAAAAGAAAACCTTTTTTGTTTCGAAACTGATTAAAAGGTCGAAAATTAACTAGCCGAACCTCAAAGTTCGGCGTCGAACATGAGGTTCGACAAAAGTTCGCCGCATTCTTAGAAACAGCCCAAAATAGCCACATAGCCAACCACGAAATTTTGACGCCAACTAGAAAAAAATGTAGCCTAATTTGGCTATATATAGCCCAATCTGGCAACACGGTATGGCGGTGAAGGCATATTTAGTTAGTGTCTATTAGAAATTAGTAAACATCTGATTTCTTGTGACGAGGAAAAAAATTAAATCAAGGAATTGGGTCGCTGGTAATTGTAATCAATCGGAAAAACTATATGTTCGGTAAACATCAGAAACGCTGCAAATATAAGAAATATTTGTTAAAGGAATACTACAACGAAATTTCGGCGCTCATTTTTTGGTCTATATGCGTTCAATATCTTGTTTAAAAACTCTCGAAAAGGAATTTTAAAACGAATTAAACGATTAGCAAAGAGCACCTGGTGGATGTCGCTAATGCCTCGCTTGTAATGCCCGTCTAGGAACCTTGACAGCTAGTGACGGTAACTGTCTCGCCTCCGGCCACTACGAGAGAAGAGGGGCAGGAGAAACTCCCCTCTTCCCGAGAATGCCTTCTGTGTGTCACAGAAGTCGCTATTGTCCCCCTAGAAGATTATAGAAGATTAACCCGTCACTCAAAATTCGTACAAAAGCAGCCGCTTCGGTGGCTGGAACGACTAGGCCATCCTCTCGACGTCAGCCTCGCCGTAGCTTTGCTCGTCTTGAGACGACCTACGTCACGATTGCGTTGGATGTCACGTGGTCTCCGCTGGGCCTTCTCCGAGCGCTTGCCAGAGTGGGCCGTTTATAACGAAAAATACAGCCACCAGGCTCAAAATACAAACGTGCGATTGTGATTTACGGATATTGTGGATCATATTCAACCTATTTTTGAACACGACGGGAATATTTCAAATTTCGTTGATAGTCATGAATAGCCCTACTACCAGCTGAAGTGTGACGAATTGCCCTGCTTACAAAATAAAAAAAGACGATATCGAGATATTTTTGACGCCCCTAAAAATTCAGTTCAATGTACTAACGTTTACAGAAACATGGTAATCAGCGAAAACATTACCAGTGCAATTCCCCAGCTATACATGCTTACATATCGATCGAGATAACAAGCCCGGTGGCGGTGTTGCTATCTATCACAAGTCAGCGCTACAAATGACCGAAATCGATAAATGCTCTGTATCTACTGCTGATAATGAGTGTCTTGCTGCGCACACCGTGACGCATGCTTCGTAATGGTATATGCCCCCCCCCCCCCCCCCCCCCCCCCAAACCGGAAAGTTTGCGAAATTATGTTCCAATCTTGAAAGCATGCTATCATATCTTTTGCCTTAAAACACCAAAATAATAATAATGGGAGACATCAATATTCATTTACTCTCTGACACTAGCAATCAACGTCAACTTCAAAATATAATAGAGTCCTATGGATGCAAGAACTTGATAAGTGTTCCAACAAGAGCAACGTTACAGAGCAGCACGCTTATTGATGTTTGCTTTACAAATGTTAACCAATCGCACGCTGTGCCTGGGGTATTCCATGCCGATATGAGCGATCATTTCCCCTTATTTTGCTTTCTATCACATTTTAGAAATAGTCATAATTTACCTCAACTAAATTTTTTCAAAAGATCATTCAACATAGCATAGAGGCATTTCACAAAATGATGTCTGATACTAACTGGGACAGTGTGATGACTAGTCGCGATGTTGATAAATCCTATTTCGCTTTCTTGGCAGCTCTTAAGAAGTGCTATGACGCAGCGTTTCCTCTACAACAATTTAGAACACGGCGATATAAGTGTCGAAAACCGTGGATATCGAGAGAATTGTTACAACGTATAACAAGAAAAACAGACTGTTCGAAAAGTTCCGAAAATCTAGGGATAACTGCGTACTACTAGAATATAAGCAATTTCGAAATGCACTGAAACGTGACATAAAAAAAGCTAAATCACATTACCACGTTCGCAAGTTTAATAGCATTCAATATGATCCTAAGCGTACCTGGAACACTTTAAACTCTATCATCAAGCCCAATTCTAACCATACGCCCCTTAATGAACTGCAGATTGGGTCAGACGTTTTCAGTGGACGTGGCATGACAGATGCGATCAATGAATTTTTTATAAACGTTGGTGCATACAATCGCCCGAATATCACGTCATCGAGCATTTCTTTACGAGCCCACCTAGAACATACTATTATGCTGCATCCTGTCACTTCTTTTGAGGTTGAGGCTGTTATAAAATCACTAAAAAATAAAAGCGCTTGCGGGGATGATAACATAAAAGCCGAACCGATCAAATACGTGTCTAACATTACAAGTGAGCCCTTGTAACATATCATGAATCTTATATTTGAAACAGGTTGTTTCCCACATGCCTTTAAAACTGCGAGAGTAACTGTCATTCATAAAAATGGCGATAAAAAGGATATTAGCAATTACCGTCCAATCTCTGCGCTCCCCGTGCTATCGAAGGTTTTTGAAAAAAATGAATAAACAGTCGAATTCAAGCTTTCTTAATAAAATTCTCCGTTCTATCCACAGCTCAGTACGGATTTCAAAAGGGTAAATCAACAGAAGATGCCTTGTCACCTATAAAAAATAAAATTTTAAATAACATTGAAAATAAACTTCTTACTCTTGGTCAGGGATGGGCAGTATTTCAAATACAAGTATTTGAAATACGTATTTCAAATACTTTGTGTATTTTGCATTTGTATTTAATTACAAATTGGGTAATGTATTTGACGTGTGTATTTAAATACTAAAACGTGGGTATTTCAAATACAATTGTAATTAAATACAATTTTGTGGGCGAAAATACATCCCTCAAATTTATTGTCACGACTCATTTTGCTCATCCTAGGACGTGTCCAGAGCAGGAAGAAAACTACGTTCTGCACAGAATGCAGTGTCTCTCAACCAAGCACAAGCATTTAGTGACTTTGTGATTACGGTGCTGTTCCAGGGCAAGAATAGTGACGAAATCGACGTTCACAGGCAGACTGGCTAAATAAGTGCCTGCGACAACTTGTGATGCTTTCCAGCCTGATTTCCATCCATATTTTAGCCTGAAACATTCTAAATGCGCGGGTCGTCCAGATTTTCGTAACTGCTGCGAGTTGCAACAATAAAAAATTCTCTGGCTAGTGATGAGCATCTTGGTCGTCTCGGTTCTTTGTTGGTCTATACCAAAATGTAATCGACAAAGAAAGCTGCTTGGAGCTTTGTACTTTTTTCACCTATTACGTCCAAGCTGATTACATTTTTTATGATTATATTTCTATTACGTTATTAGAGCCTCGCACACTAACTCCCAAGTGTGCTATGCAAAATTAAAATGAGATACCCAGAAACCCGTTTCGGGTGCCCTGAAGTCGCTGACGCAAATTTTGAGGAATGTTTTTGGAAAAGTATTTGAAGGAGACCAAATACATTTGGTTGTATTTGTTTCTTGTACTTAAATGCTTTTTTGGAAATGTAATTAGATTTATAATTAAATACATTTTGAAGAAGTATTTTGTATTTGTATTTCGATACATATTTGCATGTATTTTGCCCATCCCTGCTCTTGGCATATACTTAGATTTTCGAAAAGCATTCGACAGTATCAATCATAAAATTCTATTACAAAAACTTCCCCGCTATGGCATTAGGGGTAAAGCATTGGATTTAATAAAGAGTTTCCTACAAAATCGCGAGCAGTTCGTACAAATTATTGACATTCATTCTGATCGTAAGACCGTTAAATATGGGGTCGCTCAGGGATCAGTATTAGGACCTCTGATTTTTATAATCTATTTAGACGACATTGTAAACATCTCAGTTTCTTCAAACTTAGTCATGTAACCTGATGATACTAGTCTCTTTTTTTCT